ATAGACTTAAATCCTTAAGCCGAGTTACTATATGTGATTGGTATAGTTATTGTAGGGAAACTATAGTTATATATCAAATGGATAAAACTCAAGCGGTAGGAAAGATTGGTGGCCCAGGGAAGATAGTCCAGATTGATGAATCTAAATTTGGGAAAAGAAAATATAATCGAGGTAATTATTTTATAGCACTATTAATTAATATTTACTATATGTGTTATTAGTCTGTTTTACTCCTAGAGTGTAATTTAAAAACCAGAGCTGTCCAATAACCCTATTATTATCACATCTACAAAATTTATTTAACTCATTAAGCTTATTAACTAATTCTTTAATTGTTGTAGGACGACATATTGAGGGCTATTGGGTCCTTGGTATGATCGAAGACAAATCTGAAGACCTAAGATTGGAAGTGTGCCCAAATAATATTCGATCAGCTGATATATTACTTCCTCTCATTCAAAAACATGTTGAAGTTGGTACTATCATTCATACTGACTTCTGGAAAGCATACGATTGTCTGGCAGACCATGGGTACATACATCAAAAAGTGAATCATTCAGACCCTGAAAACCCGTTTGTGGCTGAAGATGGAACCCATACGCAAAGGATTGAGTCACAGTGGAGGGCAGTAAAAAGATTTTTTAAAAAGGATAATTATAATAACTCTGAAAATTTTTCAGATCATGTCTATGAATATTTGTGGCGGCGAAACAATACAAAACATAAAAAGACCCATTTTTGGAGCTAATTAAAGCTGTCAAATATGTCTATAAATTAAACACTGACTGACCGATTTTTTATTTTGCTATATTGCTTATTTTGCTATTGTTTACTGCTCTACACGTGCTATGGCTATGTATTGGGCCCTGGTGGTTTTAGTGGGTATGGGGACCATCGCATTTTACGACCTTGATCCCCACACTCCCCGCGCCAATCACACTTGCCCAGGCGCGGGGGCCCGTAATCGGGTTTCCCCAGGTGAAAAAAAAAAAAAAACGCGTTTTTTTTGACGCGTTTCCGGAGCAAAACTCACTTGGAGGTGTTCCAATGAAGGTCCTCCGAGACTCCTAAATAATTAGTATCGTCAAAAAAGTGCGATGGTATTCAAAACCGTTACCGTACATGATACGGCAAAATCACCGCGCGAGACATTGGTAAGTACTGGCTAGTAGCGCTTTTTACTCGGGCTGTGTAGGACGTGCTGCGTCATGAATTTTCTTACGAAAAAAAAGATTATAGTTGCTTATTACATATATAGGAAAAAGAAAATAGAAAAAAAAAGGGAAGTTTTGGATACATCCGATTTTAGAAAAAAGGGAGGAATATGGCGCGTTTCATACACTTGTCAAGAATCAATTGAGAGAAGATGAAGACAAGTTTTACAATTATTTTAGAATGCAGAAAACTACATTCGACAACTTGCTCCAAAAATTATCCCAGGAACTAAAACATCAAGATACTTTTATGCGAGAGAGTATATCGCCCGCAGAAAGATTGGCTGTAACTCTGAGGTAAGTAGGTACAAAATTAAATGACATATTTTAGTTTAAAATTGTTTATTGCACACAAACAAAATTATTACATGTAATTGAATTTTAATAATTATTAATTTAAGAACAAGTAAATCAAAAAATACACTACGCTGAAAATGCTACTCAAGTGCGGTACTAAAATCGAATTCGTCTTCAATAGAAACTTGAGAATCTGCCGAGATACTTTCCGCATTTACACTATGTACAGATAATTGTGATTCGGGTCGGTAGTGGATTGGCTCTAAACCAGAACCGTGTCCAAAATCATGAGAAGACGTCTGTGGACGACTTATTCTATAGCTCGATCTAGCAGCTGTAGAATATCCATATGTTGACGATTGCGCATTTGAGGATGCTGTACCACTTAAATATCCTTGATGGCCTTGATCCCATTGGTTTCTTGATGTAGGTATATACTGAGTACACTGTCTTTGTTGAATATTTTTAATTATTGAAATTACTTGAAACTGAAAGTCTATCATATTTTCATCACTGAACTTGTCAACTGTATCAGCGATTCCCATAAAAAAGTTCATACTACGGCTTTTCTTTTTCTCATCTCGTTCTGCTGAATCCATAAACTTCATAAACCTAATGTCAACTTCACTTAGTTCATTTTTTTCTTTTTTTTTAGCCCTTTGCGTCTCACTCCGTTCAGTGTATCCCGAGCTTGATTGATTCGGGACTGCACTATCAAAATTTTCATTACTGAGGCTAGAATCATGAACATGTTCAGTCATGTTAGAATCGGTCTTGCGATGCTCAACATTTTTTTTAGGAACATCATTTCATCATAGAACATATATTTTCTTATTTTTTTTGCTGAAGAACCAGACTTACATTCATTAATTTTTTTGTCATATTTTATCCAGCTATCTTTCATATTGGTCCACTTCTTCATCACCATTTTCCCTGAAAATAAATAAATAATAATTATTAAATTCAAAATTTATGAAAACCCCCCGACCTAAACTGAATCGACCCCGACCTAAAATGGGGTTTTAGTATTTGAACCTGAACCGTTTTGTTTCATATTTCAGGTATCTAGCAACAGGAGATACCTTTACTGACCTATACTACAGCTATAGAATTGGAATAAAAACCATAAGTTGCATCGTACGTGAAGTATGCCACTACATTTGGTTAGAACTGTATAAAGAATATATGAAAATGCCATCTAAAGAAGACTGGCTACACATTGCAAGCAAATTTCAAGAATCTTCCAACTTCCCGCTGTGCTTAGGAGCGGTCGATGGAAAACACATCAGACTTATTAAGCCAATTGATAGTGGCTCGATGTTTTTAAATTACAAACATTTTTTTTCTATAGTTTTGATGGCAGTAGTAGATAGCGATTACAACTTTATATTTGTTGACGTTGGCGCCTACGGAAAGGAGTGTGATTCCAGTGTGTTTAAAGAGACCCCATTTTGGAAAAATTTAACAAACAACGGATTAAATCTACCCGATGCAACACGTTTGCCTGGAATTGACTACGATTTGCCATATGTGTTCGTTGCGGACGAAGCCTTTGCTTTGCATTATCACTTGCTTCGTCCATTTGGTGGTCATCAGCTTGATCAATTAAAACGTACATTTAACTACAGACTCACAAGAGCGCGAAGATTTGTTGAATGTGCGTTTGGCATTTTATCCAATAAATGGCGAATTTTTCACCGGCCAATGAATGTGTCCATCGATTTGGCAGTTGATATTGTGAAAACATGTTGTGTTTTGCAAAATTTTATACATAAGCAGGAAAACTTTCAGTTTCACAATGCGAGTGAAAATGAGTCCACCCTTGATTCAGAATCGGAACTAATCCAGTTACCTATCACGAATGCAGTTCGCGGAAGTTTGGCGGCTAATGAAGTTCGCAACAGATTTGCACAATATTTTGTATCTAACGAAGGTCGCCTCTCCTATCAAAACAACTATGCATAAGTAAAAAGTTAATAATTAAATATCTGTAACTTACCAAACTTGTTTTTCTCATCACCACTTAAATCTTCAAATGTGGGCTGGAAATGAATAAATATTTCTTTCCAGGAATCATATTTAAGCCGCTTATTTTTATAATCGTCGATGGTCTTATCCCATATTACAGGCCTTTCTTGAATCAACGTAATTAATAATTCTTGATTTATGTTCATTTTATAATAAAATCGCGAAACAGCGTATATAAGCGGTCACGAATCCGTGCGTACGTCCGGCACCGTCGACACACCCCGATAGACTGCCATACAACACTGGTGAAAATCACGCCGTGCGTAGACGCGGCGCGCCGAGGGGCAGTCACGGCGCACGCGGCCGCGGCGCCGTGCCTTGGCGCCACCGTGCATGTCGACAAGCTCATATAGTGATCCATACCACACTGACGACCGTGCCTACACGCGGCGAATTAACCGTAGATTTTCACGGCGAGAAACCGTGTAATGGAAAAGAGGCCTTAGTGTTCGGCTTTCCATTTTTTACGTTATATATTACAGGTATACATAAAATATAATAAACACAGAACTTACAAAAATAAAATAAAAAAATTACAATTTAAAATAAATGTGACCAAAGACTTACAGAATATTTAATATCTTGAAGGTGGATAGTGTAAACATCCCGTCGAGGTTGTTGCTGTAGCTGATTGTCTGCTCTCGATGTTGATGAGATGAGTTGATATCGATTTATGGTTGTTGTAGTTTTTAAGGGCACTTGAATACGGTTGAGTTGTTTGCAGATATATTTATATATTCCTTTTCTTAGGATTTTATTTTTCCGATACCTCCAGGGTTTGTGTATATAATACCTCCTCTTGCGTGTATGAAGTGGTGTTGCTTTATATTAATGGGCACTTGCACTTTTCCACTTTCTTTTAAAACTTTTCACACGCGTAACTTTAGAGACGAACCGAGGATTATTTAAAATCCCTTTGCGCTGCCACCAATTGTTATAACTGAACTTGAATTAGGCTTTTTAAAAAAACAAATTTTGAATTCGAAGCAACCGTCTTGAGTAAGGAGTAGGAAACAACTAACTGGTTTGAGCGGGATGTTTATTATATAGGAAGCAAAGTGTTTACGTAGTTGAAAAGAGAGAATGAAGTCAGCTCTAAGGCTAACAGAATAAAGGTGTAACAGTTCGATCCCCAGCAACCGCGCCACTTTGTGTAGATGTTTAAAATATTGATCACTGCACTCAAACAAGTCACAGTTGGCAAAATGTATCTTCACTGAACAATTAGTGAAAGGTCCGACACTTGCCAAGATGGCCACTGAGTCTTATGGCAATTTCCCCAAGCAGAAACGAGAGGGACCGATAAATTAAAATATCCTAGTACAGTACACTGAATTTAAAATAACAAATTAAGTATTCACTGGTGATGAGCAACACTTCACACGTCCGTTCGTTACGAGAGTCTACGAAAGAATGAAGAATCGAAACTATAGACACATCTAACATATTTACTTTAAATCTTCATGGTAATTTATACCGAGGACATGCTGTACGAACAAATTGTTGTAGTCCCTCTTTTTCAACACAAGAAAGGGGTAAATTATCCTTAATGATCATGTAGACTAAACTTTGGGTGATTGCAATATGGCGCTCGCATCCATCTAAAATTTAAAAAAATATTAATAAACACGTTCAAGTATAAAATGAACCATTTACAATAACAAATTCAAATATATTACCATCATAACTTGCACTTTTTTCAAATAATTGCAAAACCGTTTGTTGTTTTAATTTTGGTGATCTTGAAAAGACCGAAATATTTTCTAAGCTTTGAGTATCCTCCTCTTGGTGATTAACCTAATACATAAATTTAGATATTTTAGACTTTATAGAACATGATTGTAAATATACACTAATTTATTGCAAAAAATATATTACCTGACTAACTAGACCCTCTTGGTTGTCAGAGAAGCTGTTACTCTCAGTAAGTCCAGTATTTGGTCTCGATATTATTAATGTTTTCGCCTGCTTTATGTGTCGCTGTCTTAATATTTGTCTTTTTTTTATAGTAAGTTGGGCAAATGCATGATGATGTTTCGTTTTTAAGTGGGTTGCTAAATTGGTAGTATTTCCGCTGCTTTTATTATTTTTCCCGCATAAGTTGCAAGAAACATTTCTTGCATCAAGTTTTTTAAAATACGTCCATACAATGGAAGAATTGGCTGAAGAAGACATTTCGAAACTGAACTATTTGTATGTAACTACAACTAGATATTTAATAAATTAATGTGAATAAACAGTAAACACTTGCTTCAACCGCTACATTAATAATGACAATTGACATAGAAACTGCAAGTCAAAATTATAAATGTAACAGGTAACTGTCAAGCATCACTTCAGTGAAGTTTGTTAATTGACAGCTATATTTCAGAGGCAAAATTTACATTTTCACATTCTTTAGAGTTGACGGTGAAATGATGCTCCTTTAAATACGTATTATTTGTCTGTGTTTTATGTTTTCTTTTTATGCTTAAGAGCCTACAATTATTTTAAAATGCCGTTTTGTTATCGATGTTAGAATGAAACTACAAAACTAAAGTAATTACGTAAGCGTCTCTCGTTGTATTGTTTTGTGTCTATTAAGTAATGAAGGTTCGTTCACTATCCTTTTTTTATGATATTAATTTTGTTCTAGGAATGTTTTTTTATAAACGTGATATTAATATTTATTCTAATAAAAACAAAGTTCATCATAATTGCTTAAATTTCTTTTGAAGCCTCTTTTGACTTCAATAAACATCTTGAGATATTATATTTTTCCCGCAACAAAATAATGGTCGATTACCTATTATCACGTTGTCCGGTTATTTAAAATGGATGAATCAGCGGAAAACAGATAGCTATTAAGTAAAAGTATTTAAGCCAAAACCCTTTTTATTATTAAAATGTTTGTTGCATCACAAAACGTTTTTTGTGGACACGTCATGTCCACAAAACACGTCCACATGTCGTGAAAATCCTTATACACAGTTTGAGAGGTAATTTCAAATATGAATTAAAAATACATTTAAGTAGTATAAAATAACAGTAATTTTTCCTAAGGGCGCTTTTAGTGTCACGCGGATTTGCTCACGCACGCGGGATTGGACCGCATGCGTAAAATTTCACGCTGCGGATCATACGCAGCATGAGTTTCAGTTTTCTACGGGCTGCGTAACGGTACAGACGTGTTCAAAAATGATCAATGTCAGAAGAATATGTGTCGCTTACATACTTTACAAACGACGAAACAAGAAGACAAGAGTACATGTTGATCCCTTTCTTGAAAATAGGCTTCTTGCTGGGGCGTTTGTTACACGCTTTGGAAAACTACAAAATAATGAACGTAAATTTAAAAATTACTTTCGAATGTCCATTCGTTCTTTTGATGAACTGTTGTGTAAAATTGAGAATAAGCTACAAAAAAGCAGTTTACGAAGGATTACAATACAACCGATTGAGAGGCTCGCTATTACATTAAGGTAAGTTTTAAATTTTAAATATTTAATTTCCTGCTATGATTTAGTGGAAAGGGATTTGAACAGGTAGGATAAACGTTTTTTGACTTCAAATTACTGTCATGTGTAAATTTACATGTGCAAAAAAAAAATTTTGTCATGTACTCTGAAATTTCATTGTTCATAATTTCATTCAATTTCATGTTGAAATTTCATTAAATAAGATTATTTCACTCATAAAATGTCGCCATTAAAGTGGAATCATTCCTACCTTTCATCACACGCTACTTATTATAATATAGATAAAAGTTATAGGTTTGCACATGACAGTAATTTAAAGTCAAAAAAAGTCCTTAATTGGTTTGGGATTGGTACGTTCAACCTACATACACAATCCTTTTTTTATCTGATAAAGTACACATGGCCACAGATCAAGTTACCCAAAACCAGCATAAATGGAACTCGCGCCTTGCGTATTATCATACTTAGGTAACCCGTCGGAGTCCCGCTTATACTGGATTTGAGTAACTTGATCTGTGCCGTGTGTACAACCGCACTCATATGACTAAACAAACAATTAGAGAGAAACTGGAGAAAAAAAGTTAATCGTACTCATTTTAATAAAAAGAGTTTTATTCATAAATTAAAAAATCAAATTTTACATCATTCATTTCTTTGTAAATTTGTATCCTGAGCGTTGACATTACTTTCGCCTGTAGATGATGTTGTTGCTGGGGTATAAATTACGTCATAAGACGTGATATTAAACAGGCCGCTTTCAGTCGAAATAAGAGTTTCATTGTCATTCACTGCAGCAGAACTAATAGCATTGTCGTTAAGACTCGAAGTATCCTGGATTATACTATTGGTTTGGTGACAATTTATCGGTGACAAACTGTCAAGCTCAGTAAAAGCACTAGAACTTGTTGTAGGTATGGGACTGTAGTATGCAGGTTGTGTTTGACTTTCCATTTCCATAACTATATTTAACACTTTTGTTCTGAACATTAGTTTTTGATATCTAGTGAATCTTTTTAATGAAGGCTGCAGAGACTGAAAGAAAGCCAAATCCTCACTTTCTAGCTCCAGTTGATTAGACTTTAAGCATTCTAATAACTGTGCCTCAAATTCAGATGGTGCTTGCTTTTTAGATTTTACTTGTTTTTGTTTTGATGTTGGGTGAGAACTTTCTTGACGTGAAGTATCTGGTTGCGTGGACTCATTAGGTGTTTCTAAATTACTTTGTTCAGACATTTCTTCACAGAGTGACTCTTCTCCAGCAGTTTCCGTTGTACTGTCTAAGAAAGTCAAAATGTCATAGTAAGAATATTTCTTCTTCTTCTTCTTACTCCCAGAGCCGGATGGCTGATTTTTTTCAGATATCTTGTCTTTCTGGTAAGTGTCCCTTGCTGTTCGCCAGCGTTGTTGTATTTTCTTGTCTGAAATGACAAAATATAATAAGTAAGTGGCAAAAGTACACACAGTTTCAGATCAAGTTACCCAAAACCAGTACCAATAAACGACTGCATTCGATTAAAGGCCCTCCTTAATTCACACATGTTGTCAACTTTACACTGTCTCATGAAGCATTAGATAAATCAAGCAATATATATATACCTATACAGAGTGGAAAAATAAGGCCGCAGTTGAAGGAAAAGTACCCTTAGGCGCAACGCAAACGGCGGGCCGGCGCAGGCCGGTCAATTTCGCCGCGAACGATAGCGCAAAGTGAATCTTATACTAGACGCAGACGGCGCGGCCGGGGGCGGCGCGGCGCAGACATCGACGAAATAATTCATTTTTTACAAAAATAATTAGAACTTCATTTAAGGATTTTTGGAAAAACACCGGATTGAATCGGGCAATTTGTTTATTTGTTACAGTAAAATTTGCCATCATCAAAATTAAGGTGAAAACTTCCGGAAGTCACTAGCGCTGTAAGTTTTTAATTTGTTTTAACAAAAATTTGCTTTATTTGCATCTGTCAACCTTCATGAAGGAGGACATCTTGTAATGTAAATATTGCCTGAAATAAACGATATTTCATTATATTATATTATATATATTTATTAGATTCCTTTCATTTGCCGGAAATTTTACCATAGGGGTTAATTTATACAGAGAAGATTTCTTATAAAATATTTACAGCATAGTTATGTGTCTCAAATCTGCTAAAAGTGGCCACTTTTAGCAGATATGAGATACATAACTATACTTCGAACTTTTCATATGAAATCATAACTGCATAAATACCCCCTATGATAAAAATTTTCGGCAAATCATAGAAATCTAACGTAGCTATAGTACTGTAGTTAAAACGAATTAAAAACTTCTAGCGCTAGCTACTTCCGTGCCCTTTCACCTTAAGGGTATTTATTTTTCTTCTGAAGTAAAATTCGAGCGGTGCATGCTGTCTTATGTCTGATGTCAGCATTATTAATATATTATGTTATCATATTATTAATATATTGTTTTTGTTTTCAGATATTTGGCAACTGGTAATACATTCACTGATCTACACTATTCCTATGTGATTGGAATTGCAACAATTAGCGAAATAGTAAGACAAGTTTGTTACATAATATGGATTGAACTAAAGTCTGAATGTATTCCACAGCTTAATGGGATCAAATGGAAAGAAATCGCAGAGGGATTTCTCACATATACAAATTTTCCTAATTGCTTGGGTGCAATTGATGGAAAACATATAAGAGTGATTCGGCCGCCGCACAGTGGATCACTATATTTTAATTATAAGAAATATTATTCTGTAGTGCTCCTCGCAATGTGTGATGCTGATTATAATTTTACATATATTAATGTCGGTACCAGTGGAAGCAACGCCGATTCAACCATCTTTAGAAGGAGTCAATTGTATACGAAACTGGAAAGTAACACGTTGGGTATCCCTGACCCGCAAGAGTTGCCTATTATTTGCCCCGAAGTAGCTTATCCATCTAGTGTAAGAGCAAAGTTGCCGTTCGTGATAGTGGGAGACGAGGCATTTGGTTTATCATCACATGTGATGCGGCCTTATGCTCGTGATAATTTACCTTACAAAAAGAAAATATTTAATTACCGTCTGTCCAGAGCTAGAAGGTACATAGAATGCACTTTTGGAATTATGTCAAATAAATTTAGAATATTTCACAGATCCATGAATGTCAAGTTAGATCTAGCACAATTAATAGTCAAGACGGCATGTGTACTTCACAATTTCATAAGGAAACGGGATGGCTACAAGGTCAGCCATACATTTGTCACAAATGGTTTTACGGGACCACTACCCAGGCAGCAGACTGAAAGTAGTAATACGTCGGCAAGTAATATCAGAGATATATTTGCAGATTACTTTATCAATGAAGGAAAAGTCTCCTGGCAACACCGATATATAATTAATTAACTAAACTCAAAAGGTTTTAGAAGGTTTTTGATGTTATTTGTGAATTAAATAATTATGCTTATATTAATAAAGTAATGATGCTTGTATAAATAAAATAATGAACCAAACACATACCCGCCTCTTTTCTTTCCTCTTCGCTCAAATTTTCGTAGTTAGGTGCCAATTCCTTCAAAATATCTCTCCATGCAGCCTCCCTCGCGTCCCTGTTTTTGTATAATTCATTGCGTTTATCCCACAAAACGGGCCGCAGATGAACTTCAATGATTACTCGTTCTGTATCGATTTTCATTTCGGTAGTACAATACGGCGCGTGCGCCCCGCTCGACTCTAAAATGGGCACTGAAGTTGTAGGCAGCGCTTACGCATGCGGATACCCCGCACCGGGGTGACGCCCCGCACAGCGCCCCGCGTCCCGCGTGCGTTTATCACGCTTTACAATAGATACCTATATGAAATTGTTCTTTGCGGATGCTACGCATGCGGTCCAATCCCGCGTGCGTGAGCAAATCCGCGTGACACTAAAAGCGCCCTAACCTCTCTTTTTATCTTTGCTCAATGTTAACCACAGACTAATCAACATAGAGCGGAGAGCCTAGAGGTAAAGATACTAATTATGCTAAGCTGTGAACGCTGACAGCGACAACAAACATTTGAAATTTTATATAATTTATTTTATTAAAAAATTAAACAGAAACATTCACGAGTAGAAAATTTAAAAAATTATATTTGGAATTTTTAAAAAATAGTTATTTAATTCTTATTTTAAATTAATAAAAAAAAAACTAAAATTATTGAATGTCGGCTAATTTAAATTTCATAAATAAAATACGGTGTAGTAAGTTTACGATGATTTTGTAGATTAAATAAATTACTAAAAAAAAATAAAAATTTATTTAAAAAAAATGTCGACCATTGATATCGAAATATCGATATATCGTCCAAAAAAAAATAGTAATAAATATCGATATTCCGAAATAATAATATCGATATTTTATCAATAGTCCTATATTGTGCGCCGACCACTGCGAGCCAAGACAGTCGCGTTAGCGCGCTAGCGCGAGGCAGTTCGTCAATTCATTGCGCTCGCCGAGTGTGTACGAGGCGAACGAGTCGACTACATAATAATTTTTTATTTTATTTTTTATTGAAATAAGCACTATCAATGAAAAAGTACCAAAATATGCAATAATGCTGTAAAAATAGAATTATATGCATTTGCATATGTAAACATGCAAATGCATATAATCCGATGTCTACTTGTTGTTAATAATGTTAATTACTAATTTCATGTTAATTAGTAATTAACATGAAATTCAGAGATTAAACAAACCTGTGGAAAAGTATTTTTAGAAGAAAATGCTGTCATACAAAATATATAACATAAGTCCACATTTTGTTATAACTTGCAGTATGACTATAACGCAGATACCTACCAGTATGCACATTAAAATGATCACCCTTATTAACATTAAACATATTAGGAACCACAAACATAAAACAAATCTAACAGACAATATCTATTATACTTCTTAAAAGTAATTAGGAAAAATAACATTATTAACTATAAAGTATAACAAATATATAACAAAGATTTGCTATTTAGAAATATTTAGGAACATTATGAATCATAAACATACAGAAATATCAACAAACTAAAACTAATTAGGAACATTATGAACCATACTAACATACAACATCTAAAAAAAATTTGAATTTTCAAAATAATTAGGTTTATTAGAAACCATGAACATAAAAAAATCTAACAAACTTATACTCTATTAGGCTTCTTCTTAAAACTATTTGGCATCTACCGCAGAATCAGTCTTCTTCAGGTACATAATAAAAATTAGAGATTCTCAAAAAACAGTTTATAAAACCTTGGTACAGTATTTTTCCTAATAAGGTCTAGCAAACCTTTCTTCTTCTTCTCACATATAGGAATTTTTTCTCTGTATACTTTTTTAACACTGATATTATTGGCAGTGTTTCTTGTCTTACCAATTTTGTCTATAATGACTGTTTTAAACTGTGTGTCCTCGTACGATGTTTTATAGGAAAAACAGTAATTAAAATCATTCGATTCCTTCAAAATTTTGACATCTCCTAGCTTTAACGTTTCTTTGTCCATATTCTTAGAAATTTTTGCCTATCGATGAAGCCAACGCTTTTATATCAAAAAAATCTTCGTGTTCCAATTCATTTACTTGATAGGCTTTGCCAGTTTTTTTAGCATTTCTTATAATGTGCACATACTGGTCAGGTGTATGGGTCCAGACTTCAGAGCTTTACCAACTCCTCTTTCAATGAGGGAGTGGACATTATCACCCTCATTTTGAGTGTACCCTTTTATTAGGTATTTGTGGGTTATTGAATTAATAAAATCGAGATGATAAACTGCATATACATAAAGAGCTATTATGTACTGGTTCTTTTGCTGTCCGCAGCAATTGTCGGAATAAAATATTATATCTAATTTTGAATCTAGTTCTTCAGCTTTAAGCTTTAAATTCTGTATGTATTTGAGCAAACAAGATCCTTATCCTATTTCTGTAGCACCACGTTTAGCTTCACCTTCATGCCAGACATAAAATGCAGTGTCTTTAGATTTGATATCGCATATTGTGAAATTATACGTATTTAATTTCGATACGTTATAAAAGTTTGATGCATCTCCTCTAGGACAGGGCATAGCAGCCTGAAAATCATAAACTAATACAATACAATTATCAGGAGTAAATCTTTTGTCATCTTCTTTATTTTGCCTTGACAAATCTTTCTCTGTTAAATGCCTATCAAACTTTTCCTTCAGCTCTACCTTATCGTTTTCTGTGGCATTACTATATGATGTACAATCCTCACACTGATTTTCGGTTGGAAAAAGGCAATATTGAATTCTTTGTTAAAGATCCTGTAATACATAAGGTAATTAGCGCTTGGTAAATTTTTTGACTGACAGTCGAGTTCGTAATCCCTATGTAAGTCTGCTACAGCCATTAATATGGCGGCAAAACTGTATTATAATATATTGTAATGTATGGTTATATTAATAAAGCCTTTTTGTGTCTGCACGGCAGTAGTGACTATTAATCTTTGGCATTGAGTTGATGTGTCCAATAATACCTTCTTTAATAGCCGGATCTAAATGAACATGTTGGCTGTTATGTGTTTACCACGATTATCCAAATCTAACATGCCACATGAATTCTTCTTCTTTTGAAGAACAGTTCGGATAGAGGCATCAGTTATATCTAGGCATCTTGTATGAATATCGTGGTTCAATGACGGAAATATGGCGTAAAATAAAATCTCGTTGCCTTTGCAGATCTCCCATGCCCCAAAATCATTCAAAAATTTCTTTGCATTGTGATTCTGTAATATTTTGAGTACACTTTTGTTTGCATTTATCAGTACATGGTGTTTTTAGAGACTTTGCGGGCACAACGGTTTTTCCTTTTTTAGAATTGGATATATAGGACTCACCAGAGTTTCTCAGGATTTTTGCCTTGTTATGCAACCAGTTATTGGGTGTAGATTTTCGTTTTTGTCCTTTATTTGAATTGGTATTGTCTTCACAATCAATATATTGTGTAGAATTGGTATAAGAACTAAGTACCAAAGAACTTGGAGGTGTATTAGCTGTAGAACGTGAAGTTGAAGGTACTGGCTCAATCGAATCATAGCGAGAATCTTCGATGCAATTAGCTATTGTAGGAAATATATTCACCCTGGACTGAACCACTGCTGTTAAACGTTCATTATTCAATTCATCGTCTGGTGAAGTCTCGGAATCTGATGAACTAGATCCACCACTTGAGCTGGATGAACTATCGCTTGAGCTACTACTAGATTCTGTTTGCATTGGGGCTATCGGCATAGGTATTAGTGAACTTGTTTGGATTTGGTGGAATCATCGTTACTGAAATTGTCATATTGTTTTTCATTCAAATCTATTCCACTCATCAAATTTTTAAAAACTTGGCGTTCATTTCTCAAAAGAGACCTCTTTGTAGAACAGGATGTATCGATATCTACATAATCAGGATCCTTCACGCTATCATCTGAGCAAAAATCTTCACTAACATTAGATAAATTTTTATTTTCAATGTTATCTTTAGCCTAGGGAGACTGAATGAACTGTTCCTTTTTAGTGAATTGTATGGATGTTGAAGTCTTAGGTTGAAGGTGTATAATATCTTCATTATCTTGTTTGAGGTTCCGGATTATTTGTAGGGTACGGGGATTTGGCACTGTAAATAAAAAGAACAATTCATAAAATAACGAACCACACCATACCTACCATGCCATGCCACGTCATCACACACCACACGCCCACACCACAACACAACTAAACCAGAAGGTGTCGGCAGAGGTCATAAATTCACCCGCATTTCGCCAGATATGTTTTTAGGTTTCATGGATACGTTATAGGGGCGAGCCTTTTGCTGTTCATCGGGCACAATTTCTAACCCCGAGTTGCTCTTTAGACTTTTCTAAATTAGAAATAACGAAAACCACGTTTACTGCTCGACCCAGGATTCGAACCCGGGAAATCGCGGTTATATAAGGCCCTATGCAATGAGCCAGGAGGCAGCAAAAAAACAATAAAAACACGTTATAATTGTATTATATCGTTAAAAGTAACTTAACTTGCTTTCGGTTCTAAATTATTGAGCTTTATTTCTAAGCAATAATAACCTATTTCGTAAATATGTTAAAAGATTTTGTTATTTCTATCTTGAATAAACAAATAAAACTTAATAAGTATTATTGTCTTACTTACTCTTTCGTGAAGAATGTTGTAACACTAAATGCAGCACTTTTCAACAAAAAAATTATCGAAAATTGACACAATTTTGTCTTGAATAATCAAACAACTCAAAATGAATCAATATTGCAGAAAATATTACTAAACTTTACACTTTAAACACACGATTATTTAGAAATGTGGTATTATCCCGGAAAGTTTTAACGTGGTCACGCGAAAACAATAATAGCAACTGGCGATCGTCGACTGTTGCAGAAATATGGCGTGATAAATCAACCAATCACATAACGACATTTTTACACGCCACTACGCCGGTTTTGCCGTTATGAACGTGAGTCTTACTGACCATGAAATAAGGACTATTTTGCATTTGGCTGTGTTATAAACCAGTATTTTCAAAATTTTGGTGTGTGCGGGTATTCATGCAAAGCAGCGAGATATTTTTGCCTAACCTTTAAAATGAAACAAAAATTATCACCCTTATTAGAATCTATCCGTTGGGTTCAAGCAATAAAACTAAAATTTTCTTGAATGTTTATTATTATTGTTTTCCTTACTAACTTCTGACACTTTGGCGTTTCTTTTCAATTTTTTTTTGTTTATGATCTCCACCTCGTCGTTCTTTAGGAAGAGTGCTGTTAAATACATTCTTGCAGATTGTTCTCAACCTAAAGATTTTGACTGAAAAAGTTGCCATGAACCTACTCTTGCAAACTTGAATCAAATTCTTTCTACGCCCGATCAAAAAGTTACTTGAACACAATTTTCTAGGTTTCTGAGTAGATCCTTTAGGTTCTTTGATTCTTTGGGGATTGTATGAAGAAACCAATCTTGTTAGGTAAGTATCTTGTGCTACTTTTTGTTTTGTTAGCAAAAAAAAGCCTACTGTTTTTGAGTAGTAAGGAACGGTTTAACTTTTTGCATTTGACTACACTTTTTGGGCCTTGTTAGCAGTCTTTTTGCAAATACATTCAAGTGGATCAGTCTCCGCATACCTGGAACAGAAATAAAATAGGTATTAAGTAATAGATTATTTAGGTTTTTAGCTAAAATTTCCGTCCAAATTGATGTAGATGTCACTCACTTAGAAGTAGATTTTGTAATTCGTCCTCGTCGTGGTCTTGTTTTTGTACCACTATTGATTGTAACAACTTCAGCAGTCCCGTCTTTATCCATTTCGATAAAAAATGTATTTAAACCTGCACTTTAATTGCAAAAATAAATATAAACCGCCAAGCGCAACCCTAGAAGATTTTTTTGCCCACAGATAAGGTTAATGTTGCTAGACGTATGACACATAAAACTAGCATAGATTGTTTAGCAAAGAGACTACTCAATAGAGTTTAAGCCTTATCGTGGCAAGATTGCTTTTTTGAAGAAAAGTACAAAAAAAATTATATAGATAGCATCTTTGAGGTAAAAAAATCATCAAAAAAATAAATAAAAAAATCGTGATATGAAAATTTGGGAAAAACAAGATGTATACTATTCTATACATTGCTACCCGTACAGTGATTATCGCATTTTTAGGAATGTATATTATGCTATACATTGCTATGTTTAGGTAGAGTTGGAATGTTACTAGTAGTTTTTAATATATACCAAAAGATGATTAAATAACATGATTTTAAATAAAAATAACTGTCTTGGTGGAAGTAAAAATGTTTAATTAAATAAATCTTTCTTGAACAACAAAATAATCGTAATATAATCATACAGAGCCCCAAAGCCCTATTGCTTGCGGTGGTACTCCAAAAACACTTTCGTTTTCTTCACATAACAAAGATGAACCTTACATTTTGTGCACATCGTACTTGCCTGGCCACCTTTGCAGTACTGCACCGCTGATATCCGGTTATTTGCGGCTAATGGTCATATTTGTCATATTGGACATCATCGCATGGTCGTTCAGATACCCGTGTTTTTTATTTTTGCTTTGTCCGATATTGCGTCTAAATTTTTCACTGAAACGTTTCAGTAGGCCGCTGTAGATTTCATACCAAAATCTTTTAGGCGATCCTGCTTTCTAATGGTGTTGGTCATTTTGTTATGTCTCCGACGTAAAAGCCAAGCGATGTTGATGCATATATCCAAAGCTGCGAGAAAATATTCATAATATACCACCAGTGTGATCTCATTCCAGTGCAATATTATGCAATCAGCATGTCTGCCAAATCGACACCTCTAATGTGACGATTATAGTCTTTAACAATTTTAGGACATTTAACATCAACCCGAGATTTTGCTTCTTTGCTAAATCGTTATATATTTTCGGCAGGGTATGCATCATCATAAGAACTCACCAATATGACCTGTTTATTATCAAACCACTTGACAATACTAAGTTTATTTTTATTACAAACAACCTGACAGAAGGCACCTCTTCCTTTCTTTTTCAAAGCCTTTTCAGATAGCAGTTTAGTAGCAGCATCTTTGAGTCTATTTTGTTTGATTGTTCCTAAACTAAATATACCATAATTTTCCCTCAACATAATACATAACAGTCTAAAACCAAAGCAAAAGAAACTTGCAAAAAAACAATCGTCATAGTAAAGCCAAACCATATTGTATTATATATTTGTTTGTTTTTGTGGGAATCGAACCCACAACTTTGTGTGTCGCTTCCTACAACCACTATATCAACATAAGTTCAACTGTTTTAAATTGTAATAAAAAAATGGTTTAATATATAAGTCAGACATACTTGCTATTAAAATTTTATAGTTAAGTCCAAAAAAATATTGATTCCGTACAGTTAGCAATATTATGCTGTACACCGTCAACGAAAGGTAAATTACTGCAACTGCGGCATTGTATAGTATAATATACGTTAGTAAAAAACACGACCAAAACATGTTAATACTTATAGCGACAACAGCATATATATAAAAATGTGTAAGAACAAGCATTTAGGCATGTGTATTTTATAATAAACATGCATATTTAGTGGTATAAACATAAAAATAAAATAAAACTTACCATAGATAAACCTGTGCGGCGCATCTTGACAGTTATTTTTCATAATTGATTTAAAATTATGACTGATAAACTATTATTTTTATTTTTTAAGTATAAATAGACGTCTAGAAATGTCATGTGTTTAATAAAACTAAGTTAATAACTATTTTATAGTGTCATATATTTTTATAAAGTTGTATGTATGGTAGGGTGGGTCAAATATGTATGAAGAAAAAAAAAAAGTTTGGTTTTTATAGGAGCACAGTGACTAAAAGGTGCTAACTAGTGACTGTAAATAGAATACGGAGTTTGATAGCATTCGGAATTAATCTTCGGCCTCCGGAGTCATGTAAAAATTAAAGAAATATAATAAAAAAGGGCCATTGCATATTGACAAGCAAAGATGTTTTGTTTTTAATATAAAGACCGAAAATCATAAGAATCTTTTGTTTATTAATAGAAGAATATTAAAATAGAGTAATAACAATTCTCATTAGCTAAATTATTATTTAATTGAAATGTTAAGGTGCCGTTAAAATCCTTCTTGCTGTCGAATTTTCGCATCGCTTTCCTTCAATCTAGCTGGGCGTCTATGAATCCCTCTCTTGATGTTTTGTCGCATATAGTGGCTGAAACTTCTGTCACGGCTTTAACGGCTCTTTCTACTGCTTGAGTGTGATAAGATAGACGTAATAAATCCGGTTCTCCTTCTCCTTTCTGCTCAATAAATAATAGATTTTTTTTCGGTAACAGATTTTAATAGCGTGGTTTAGTAAAACTTTCCTGTCAATTCAAAAGGTCGTAGTATGCTATTGCATCAAATTTAATCTTTGGTAACTGAAAAAGACACAGTGGTTTTAATATTGCTGATCTAACATGAGCTGAACTTTCAAAATTCGACGTGCAGCTAATTCGCAAATTTTCAGCTGGGGTCTGTTAACAATTCAAGCATTTTCTGGGTGCGTCAATAACAGCCTTCAATGCTGTTGGTGCATACTGCGTTTACTCAATAAGTTTACAGAAAGGCCTCGATCCATCATTACAGCTTGAAAGAGTTTTTATGGAAAACCATATCGGCGCGTAAAACTTAACAGCTTACGTTGCAAGAGTGCTTCATTCATCACTTTCGTTTAAAGAGATTTTCAGAAGGAGTCTCTACTTTAGCATACAGACGCAAATCTTATTGTCTCGTTGGTTAACCATGGGGCATGAGGCATTATGCCTGGTGATTTGTTCGCTAAATTGCTGGGAAATGTGCCTGTTGAAACTGCTTCGACTATTCTGTAGGGGAGCGAGGGGCTAGTTGTAACAATTTTAACAAATAATTGAATATCATGAAGTGTATTGGCTAAATTTTTACTAAATAAACTTTGATCGATACTCTAACTATTTATCTATGAAGTCTAATCGAAATATTATCAAATCTACAGGTAACTATCTCACAATTATTATTTTTTTGAAAAAAGGGAAGTGTTACAACTTACCCCGTGGTTGGGGCTAGTTGTAACATCTGTTGGGGCAAGTAGTAGCAACAAAAATGACACCTTCAATCGTTTAATTTTTTCACATCTTGGATCATTTTATCTCTTAGTTCTTACATCTTACATCTTACCATCGCAGATTTTTTAACTTTTCCTTCCCCTTTCACTTTTCTTTATCATCTTCTTTTTGCATTTTCTTCATACTCTACTCTCAAAGCTTCTTTTTCAGGCGTATCAGTCAGAACAGCAGACTTCCTTTTGCGTCTGCAATTTATATTTGATTTTCGTGGTGGTACCTTTAATAATGGTCTAACCTTTGATGGGAAAAATTGATTTTGACCAGACCAAATTTTAGCATTTTAAATGATATGATTCCAGCATTTCCTTCATTTGTTTAAGTTCAACTGTAGGAATAGAAGATTTCGCCCATATTTCTATTAGTTTTGCAATCACACTACCCTTAATTTCTTTATCTCCCGAATTTTAGCTTGTGTCGTTTTCACCCATACAATTTCATCACATAATTCATATGTGTGCAATATTATGTTGTCTTTCAAATCATATAGACTACCAAATAACGGATAATTCCAACATTTTTTCGTACGTTTCATTCTTAATAATTCGTTAAAAAGTGACTGCACTCAATTACGTAATGCGTGCAGACATAGATTGTCTTTGCTATAAGTCGTGCGTTTCTTGTCAAATATAACACCACACCACACTGGTACCAACCCCTCTTTACACTTTTGTCCTCGAACTAAACAAAACAAAAGATGCACTATTCTTTTTAAGTGAAGAAAAAAATCGCAACATGGTCTCAAAAATTAAATTTTTTAATAAATTCTATCTCAATCCGGAGGCAATAAAATTTAAAATAATTATATTTCAACTTTACGTATCAATAATTTACGCCATTTAGCACCTTTTTGACGCTGTGCCTGTACGAATAACTAGATTTATTTTTTTTGGCCCACCCTAATGTATGGTATACTATACAAAATGAACAATAAGGGTTAAAACACTTCACTCTGTGCACAAGTGTTTTGAAGTGTTTTTGATGAAGTCTAAGTCAAGCTATTGAATTTTGTTCTGTTAAAGTGAGCTTTTGAAATAAATCAAGAGACACAATTTTTTTTTAGGTGTTAACGTGTGGTTTTGTTCAAAACGTTTAATTTAAAGTGTAAATTTCTATAAGAAAAGTGACGTTTTGATAAGGTTTTTCTTATTTGGCCGAATCTATACAACCATTTATACCCAGACTAAAAAAAAAAACGAAAATTGGAAAGTGAGGTTTTGTTCTTCACCTCCTCAAATGAATCTAATATATAAATAAAGGAAAAATTCTACGAAAGACTAGGCGGTATGGTCGAAAGACTAGCCTGCGCCATGGGCGAAAAAAAAATTATTGGCTTCCTCTAAATTTCAAATGTGGTTCTTAAGTTTTATTAGTTTTCACATATTACGTTGTTAAAATTTCCTATGTAGATAGCCAGTTACTCGTCAAGCGTTGCGGCGTGCGGACGTGCACATTACTAGTGAATCATACCTTTCGGATTTAATACTAGTTACAGTGATTCTCAATCATCGCTATCTATTTTACGCTATGTCTAACTTGTGTGGTAGCTGTGGAGTGGAGATCAGGGAATTCGAAAAAATAGAAGATTCACTTGATGCTGTGCCAATTGTAAAATCTCTGCGCAACCTCAAGCAGTTTCGACATCCGCCTCTACATCACCTCTAGTGAAAATGCCTGTTGAATCGACTATTCTGGGGGAAATTAGAGCTGTTTCCTTAAAACTCGCCCCTTTAGAATCTTTGGTAGAAGATGTCAAATCACTCAGAAAGGAATTATCGGAGCTGAAGTCCTCTTTCAGTAAAATCAATGGAGTCGTCGGTGAGTTCAAAACTAAAATAGAGAATTTTGAATCCCGTCTGTCCAAGGTTGAATCTGGCAATCAGAACATCGTAGAACAGTATAGTACTATCCAGACTAGGCTGGATAAGCTGGAGAGCGAAGCGGAAGATAACGAGCAATGGTCACGAATGAATAATGTCGAGATTAAAGGAGTTCCTCAGAGGGATAAGGAAAACTTACACGATAAAGTTAATTCTATTGGTCAATTAATAAACTACACGATACAGAAAAATCAAATTAACTTTGTTACTCGCGTGCCAGTGCGGGATAGTACTCAACCAAAGCCAATTATATTGTGCTTCTTAAACCGTTACGCCAAGGAAGATTTCATCGCGGCAGCAAGAACCAAAGCCAAGGACCTAGCCAGATCAAAATCGTCTATCACATGTACCAATCTGGGCCTTAATGGCAATCATAAAATATTTATAAACGTCCACCTCACTCCCAAAAACAAAGATCTGCTGAACAAAGGTCGCAAGGTAGCCATAGATCATAATTTTCAATACGTTTGGGTGAAGAGAGCTGTAATTCATATACGGAAGGACAACACCTCACCAATAATTTATATCCGCAATGTAAAAGACATTTCTAAAATAATATATTCCTTATTTATATATATTATATTGTTATTCATAAAGTCTTATTACATTTATTTTTCTCTGCACTTAACATGTTGAGAACAGCTGGCGGTGAGTGTGCGATGGTACGGCATGGTACGGTTTTTTTCTCATTCATTGTTCTGTGTTGTGGGTTGACTATCGAAACAGGTTTGAATTGCTTTTGCTTATCTGCTAATGGAGTGCATACCAGTAATGATTCTACCGCTATTTATATAAGATCGATTATTTATTATTCCAAGGCGTTGCTTACGGCATTTAAGTATATCTATTGTCTCGCTAACGAAAAATATTTATTGAATATAATTGTACTTATTTTAGTTTGTTTGAATGGCGAGTCGGTGTATTTATTGGTTATGTTGCTTTGTCTTTCCTATATGAATGCGTCGTTATGTATAGATAAATATATTGTTTTTTATTGTCTGTTTCTTCAATGATTAAGTTCAAAAGTCTTTTGAACATTGATTACTATCAGAATGATCAAGGGCTGCGCACTAAAACGAACGTATTTCTGGCTAACTTATTGTTAAATAATTATGATTTTATTGCAATCACTGAAACATGGCTTCTTGACAGTATTTTAAGCAGTGAATTATTTGATTCTCGTTACATAATATGGAGACGAGATCGTGATTATGCGCGGACAGCGCAGAAACTAGGTGGAGGAGTATTGTTAGCGGTGCGGAAGATCTTATGGTTGTTGAGCGGTCGGAGTGGAGGAGCTCAGCAGAGGACATTTGGGTGACAATCACTTTGAAACGTAGGAACCCTTCGATAAACTATAATATATATTTATGTACTGAAGGAATATTTGTGTAATGAAGGAAGCGGCAATTCTTATAAAACACAGTTGTTAAATTTTTCGAATAAATTAGGAGAACTAGTATTGAGCCACCCCTCGGACGTATTTCTTGTAACAGGTGATTTTAATTTCAAGGATGACGTCAATTGGGTTAGGTCTGAGGGGTCTACAGAATTGATACCTATCGAATACAAATCTGATAATCTGAAAAATTTTCTTGATATCATTAATACTTGTAATTTTAGTCAATATAACGCACAATCAAATATTAATCAAAGAATACTGGATCTTTTATTCTCTAACTCACCTGTGAATGTTCAAGCGTGTATGTCACCCTTGGTTTCAGAAGATGAACATCATAAATCATTAATTTTAGATATAGAATTTGTTGAAATACATACTCTAGAACAAGTTAAAACCTTAAAATTTTTATAAAATCCGCGCCGACTTTAATTCTATAACATCAGAACTTACCTTTCATAAGACAAATATTTAGATTTCACTCGAAATTCTTTGTAACAAGAGGAATGATAACCTATTACTTCGTCATTCCAATTTTCAGGCAGTATAACATCTCGATATTTATGTTGATGATGCGTTCGAGCAGATATAAAAGTTTTGCAAGAAAGCCAAAAGTCTTTATTAAATTTCTTCACTTTTTCTCTTTTCTCTCGAAAAGTAGAGTTTTCACATAACGAATTACACAAAAAACACTCTATAATTATTTTGCAGCACAAAAAAACATTTCTTAAAATTATTTATCAAAATAAAACACGTGGTCAACTGAGAAAATGTTTGCAGGCTTATGATGGTCGACACTAACGTGGGATACCTAATTTGCAGTAAGCAATGCTCTGCGCATGCGTACCGTACCGGTGTGACTCAGCTGTAGTAGCAAAATCAAATCGACATATTTTATCATTGCTACCTCTGTTAGCTACCATAATTGAGAATTTTCGCATAGGAAATTGTTGGGCGACTCATCGAAACGAAGCTATTCACGAAGATTCAGCTTGATAGTAATTATTTTTACATCAAGGATCTGTACTACTACTTTTGAGCGTAGGACCAGGATAACGTACCGCGCAATTTGTAGGACAATATGTCTGTTAAATTACATAAATATTAACTAAGTAAAAAAAAAAATCAGCTGGTTAGTAATCATTTATGATGACCTCGTTATCGATACATGTCGGAAAGAGGGGACTCTTTGATCAAACCATAGATTTTGTAAGACAAATATTTTTTCGAATAATTTAGATAATTGTCTTGAGATTTAACAAAAAAAAATTCAGTTAGTAATAAATATTTGAGAATCATCAAATCAACATATTTTATCCTTGCTCCTTCTGTTAGCTACCACAATCGAGAGTTTCGTACAGGAAATTATTGGGCGTCTCATCAAAATAAAGCTACTCACGGAAAATTAGCTTGATAGTAATCAAGTGCAAAAATGGGCGATGGATCCTGGACTATTGTTTCAATCGGGCATTTTCTCTTATTATATTTTGTCTTTCTTCGCTTAAGTTCTGTGAATACACTTCGTGACCTTCAAGCCAGAGGGGCGTATAAGCAATACCCCTACTTTTCAGGAGACAAAAAAAACTTAATAAGTTTTTTTGCAATGACTCTCTTTATCTGAAAATGTACATGTGTCTACTAAAGTACTTTCTTAATAACGTGAAATGATTATTTTCTTTGTAAGTATTTAAAAACTTGCAATATTGCACTTACTTCCATTTGGCTCGACAGTTGTAGGCAAACCGTATGTTTTCTTTTCTCAGAAAACGCTTTTATCGGATGGACGTAAAATACAAAAGCTTTTTACGCAATGAAATATTTAAAAAAACATCTGAACTTAGTTCAAGTATCGTGAAATATCATAAATAAATATTTTTTATATAATTAAATGCAGTATTTCTACCATTTTTGAAGATTACACGTCCGTCTGGCTTGTCAAAAATATAAAATTAGTTTTGTTCCAAGACAGACGTAAGGGCTTCTTAGGGTTAATTTCGATGGCAGTGAAATAAAACAAGGCACAAAAATAGTTTAAAATTATTATTATTTAAAAAGGAACTTGGAACCATTAAACTTTTAAAAGAAAAACTTAGCATAGGTATAATTAACACTCTAGTACTACAAAGATAATTATTGTTTCTTTGGTCGTATTCAGCATTCACGATTGCAGAGATCTTAAAGCTGTTGAAAAAAAGTTGTTTACCTACATAGAAACAAAATAAACAAACTAAAAAAACTGCTAATTATAAAAATATCTATAAAGATGAAAAACATGAATAGTATTAAACTTGGTTACCTATTAAAAAATAGATGTTTACCTAAATAGAAACAAAATAAACAAACAAAAAAATACATCTATAAAAATATCTATAAAGATGAAAAACATGAATAGTAAGTACTTTCCATTTAGTTGCATGCAATCTCATTTAAATTTAGAGCAGGTACAGGCAAACGACTTAATCTATTTAGATCCAACTGAGGAAGCAAAAGTAATAAGTTCAAACATCTATGTAGGTTCTTATCAAATGAACTGATTAATTCTTTTTCCCTGACCGACGTCTTAAATATGAGGCTCGTGTTGCAGATAATTCCAATTCGTCATCATCTTGACGAGGCCTAGTCTGAGGCAACGATCCTGATACAGACTGAACAGGAAGTTTTTCATAGTAGTAGTTATGATTCTTGGTTATCGTCCCATCTCGACACATTTCCATCAGATCTTTATGTTTTGCTTGTTTTAACAAAATTTGTCCTGGGTACAGTTTTGCAAGATTCGAATTATGTTCCGATCTAGTCACTCTCTCCTTTAATTTTACCTCTTTGAATTCTTCCCAGTAATCATATTTAAAAAACAACGAATGGGGAATGTTTTTATTAAATCGTAACCATCTTACGTTAGCCCATTGCAAAACAGTTCCATCAGTGGCTTTCATTGTATTTGGAATAATAGTACTTCGCAGTGATTTGAAATCCAAAAAGTCTGTGTGTTCCATAACTTGAACATTATATGGATTGTCTTTACGAGCTAGTCGTATGACATTTTGCCAGTCATCAGGGATGTAGATTTTGGCATACTCAGAAGCTCGTTCAATTGTCGAGTGCATGTTGTCGCACTCCATGTAGGTGTGACCAGGTTCAAGAAATTTATAGTCAATGACTCTAATCTCATTGTCAGGTGATGTAATGATATAATTGAACATAGCAACAAGCACAGAATTTCTATTCTGCCCTGGACAGCAGTCAGAACATAAAATCAGGTGATCGACATTGGAGAGATTTGAGATGTAATTATAGAGACATGTTGATACTTCGTTTGATCCACGGTTGCCTTCATATTCCGGCCAAAAATAACAATAGCCTTGTTTAGTCGCTGCATTGTGAATTGTGAAATTCATGCTACCTAACTTCCGTTTATAAAATACAGGTTTTCCTAAAACCAAAGGACAATATAGCACTGCTTCAAAGTCAAAAGTACAAACATGCGAGCGACTATCTTCTATTGCTTTAATTTTATCCGATGTTTTTTCTTCCTGTGCATAGTATTTTCTGTTAACATGCTCTTCGTATTCTTCTTGTTTCGCCTTTTGTTCTTCTTCAGTTAATTGCTCATATTTGTTACACCAACACTGGTCCTTTCTTGGTTTGTGGAAACCTATATTCTTATTTAAAATTAGTTCTTTATACGAAGTTTTTCCAATGGGTTTCTTATGGTTCTCCAAACATTGCTGCTTATATAATTCGTACATTTTTTCTTTATTAAGAATGGTCTCCAAATAAATCTTTTTTGTATCTTTACGGCACCAATGAGAAGGCACTTTTGGAAATGAATCTATGTGATCATTAGCAAACTTTATGTTGTCTTCGCTAAATTTGTTGCAAGGTATGTGATGACCTCTTTTATCAGGGGAAGGTATATTACCCACTCCTCGGCGCGCTTTCTTCAAAGCAGTACGGACCATCTTGTCACTGATATCCAGTGTACGAAGAAAAAAAGGTTGACACACATTTACCGTTTCCGAATTAATCTTGAAACTGTAATTCAAAGTGAATTTCCTTCTCGAGTTTGTCACACGTGATCCTGTTGCTTCAGTTGAAACCACGTTCGATACTATAAAATCCCTTTGTCTTTCAATACTACCCAAACCCCAAAATGACAAATGAATATTTTTTCTCGTACTATTATCAATTTTTGTATGACAAGCTCGTTGACACTTACAATTTTCATTGCCACACTTTTTTGCCGGTACATTTTTTCCTTGACTTGATATGTATGTTTCACCGCAATTTTTCTTCGTTTTTCTAATGTTTTTTTTCCAATTTTCCGGTATTTTTCTTTTGCATCTTTTCACTTTTTGACGATCAAGGTTACTTTCAAGTGTGGGCGATTCTTCTATTTCTTGTGGATTAGTAATGCTGACTGGTTGTTCAATTTGAACTAAAGATGAGGACGTAATGGGTGACATTGGCGAGCACTGAATTTCCTCGTCATTAGGTTGGTAATTAGGGTCTGCTACAGAGTCATCGCTGTCATCAATGAAAGTTGACAGATTCTCGTTATGTGGGTTTTCAGAAGTTTCTATAATGCTAGGGCTTCCTATTGAGTGTATGGATGCTACTGGTGTAAACAGCGGTGTAAGTTGTTTTTCTATTGATGGAACCGATGATTCTAGTAGTTCGTAATCCTTGTTTGTTCTAAATACTGACAATGGTAATTTATTGGAATATAATATTGGAACATTAAAGTCATCACCGTTAAAGCCTAAATTTTCCATTTCGGCTATTGTCGCTCGTTGTTCTGTTGTAAGTGGCGATTCTCTTTTTACCTCCGTATGTGAAAAAGTCATAGGCGATCCCATAGGTGACGAAGGCACAGAATGCAAAATCTCCATCTGCTCTTCAACAGCGATTGGTGAATCTTCATGATTTGATTGAGTCTCTAAAAAAAAGAAAAAAAAGACAATTAGTTACCTACAGGTTACTTATGCCCTAGGAAAACATGTTGATCGCGCGATAAGAGCGGTTTTAAGGTCAACCTGTATAAATTACAGAAACAACATACCATACATACAAGCTTTTGCAGCCCCGAGGCTTTGGTATCGGACTTACGAACGAGAGGTCGCGGGTTCGAATCCCACCATTGCACTATCGTCGTAAACACACTACTAACAAACTACACAAGCATTCCTATTAGTACTGCAAGTGGCTATTATAGTCAAAAAAATATAAGAGGTCCGATTTGACAGCGTTTGATATGTTAGAGACATAAGGTTGAAATTTCTTAAACAATGACATCTATCTTAGGTATCCATATTGAAGAAATATCAACCTTATGGTTGTGATATAAAATCTACATTATATTGCCACTGTTATCTGTCAAAACGGGCTTATATTTTTTTGACTATAGTATCTCATTAATTCAATTCCTACCGACTACATGGTGTACCTACAGAGAATGCCACACAACCTGTTTTTTTTAGATGTTCTACTTTATCACGACGGTCTAAGATTCATTTCAGATTGTGTAAATTGGACAGTTTTGTATAGGTTGACAGGGTGTTCACTGTAACTATACTATATTCGCGTTAAGATTGCAGTGTCATTAGTGCAGTGGAGTGCAATAATAATAATAATAATATAATCTCATTAAATATTATAAATATGAAAATTTGTCTAAATAACCTAACTGCCAAACGGCTCAATGGAATTGCCTAAGTAACAAACAAACTCAACAATTAACAACCACAATAACATACCAACTTGCTTGTTTACAATAGGTAAAATTATAACTTACCATGTAGCGCTAAACGAAGAATAGTTTTGGTCCGATTCATTGTTGTGTCCGTTTCTATGTTCCGCCTGTCCACTCTATACGGCCGGGTGGAAAGAGCGCGGCGCGAATTCAAGGTCGTATACGCATACGTCTTTTTGGCATGACATTTTATTGGTAATCAAAACAAATTCGAAAGTCGTATGAACATACGTCTATATGGCCCGACAATATATTGGTAGGTCATATGAAAATCGATAATCGTATGAAATCGTATGTACGTACGACTTTGTGGTCCGTTACACAATTCGTCATTAGTGGTTACGACCGCGGTACGTCTTTCTGGCATGAAAATAATATCTGACTTCAGTTATACGCCTAAAAGTATTTTATTAATATCTTCTAAAGTAATTAACTTACAAATATGAAAAAAACAGAGGTGGTGTATCGATAAACTTAGAAATAATTGACGTAATAAAAAAAAAACGATTTTTTTTTATACGCCCCTCTGGCTTGAAGCCCGCGACTTGTTGCTGGCTTGATGTCTTGTGCGGCGGCCGATGTTCGCACGTCGTCCTCTAGGCATTTTGGACTATGGACAGAGTGGTGAATTTAATCTCAAATGCACGATGCACATAATTTACACAGTTCAACTTACCACCTTAAAGACAAATGCCTGCTGTTGAAATTGAATAAAAATTTGCACAATACACGTGATTGATTTGATGGTTTCCAATTGAAATGTTAGGAAACGAATAACTTATTTTTTTAACTTTTTTTTTCACAATTTCACAGTGAACACAATACCGGTTTGTCACATGAAATTAACTGAGCAGAGAACAATGAGTAGCTGTCAAACAATGTATCACGCACCGGCGCCATCTACTTAAAATATTGGTTTGTAGTACATGCTATGTATCAGAGACGGCGCTGTATGTGAAAAAAGATTTTTCCGCTTTTCTGTTGAAATTTTTCTTGAATTTTTTTTGCTATAAACCTCACGGAGCCCGAGACCTTTCCAACGAATGCAAAACCAGTTCGTGCGTTCTGGAGTTATAGCGTCAGGAAGGAAAACCCCACTTATTTTTATATAGTAGATCATAGTAGCTGTTAATGATGTATTGCCTCTGCATCGTTACGTTGCCCAAATTGTAATATTCATCAAATATATTTTTTCTTTCTTCTGATACATTAGCAGAACATTTTAGGCGACACTTCTCACCACATGGTGGCCCTACTTTTCTGGCTGGAATGACTTTCTTTAGTTTTTTTGATGTGTAGCCGTGACCTGTGTTTCTTAAACGTTTCGCGACGTCTGACTTCCAGCTGCTAACATTTCGTAGTCGTTTTCGTGTGAGTTTTTTGTTAGAATCTAAGTTTTCAAGCTGAGAGTTTGTAAGTGGAATGTTTTCGTTGCCAGAGAAGTGTAATGGAGGTGGAATGATTTCGCTGTTAGAGGAGTGTAATGCGGGTGGAATATTTTCGCTGTGGGAGGAATGTGAACGTTCACTTGAAGCTGACGATGATGAACTACTGGAGCTGGAAGCTGAATCCGTTGATGAGTTCAAATCCGTTGATGATCTTGACGCTGGTCTGTGTCTATAGTTCGGATCTTTAACTTTGTCATCTGAATCGAAATCGGACTCATTACTTTTGTCGGCTTTACTTAGATCTTCAGTGTTAGATATTATGTCATTAATATCAGTATTATTAGCATCATTTTCGAAACAATAACTAACATTTTCAATAGCACTGGATGTCTCAATACTATGATCTGATGCATTTATACAACAAATTGGTTTGTACATTAGCATTTGGAACTGATTCACATGCTATATCAACATTTTCTAAACATTCAATGTAGCCAGGGCCTTGTTCATCCAAGCTAGTATCAAGATTTTCAGATGGGTTCAAATTATATTGACTGTTATTCGATGTCTCACCTTGTGTTGCTATACATTTCCGAATATACGCTAAATGTAAATGTAAAATGTAAATGTAAATCCTTTATTTGCCAAGATAGTGGTACAAAATAAAAAATCGAACAACAAAAAAAAAAATCCGCACTATCAGCCATATTTAAATAGGCATGCAAATGTCATAATAAGAAGTCAAGTCATTTATAAGTAATTGTTAAACTTATGTTCTAAATATTCGGTCACGCTATAAAAGCACCTTGACTTTAAAAACCTAATCACCTTCCCCTTGAAAACATTACATGGCAGCGATCTATAATTTTTAGGAAGGTGATTAAATATTCTCACAGCCATGGCGTAACAATTTTTGGAGTATAGCGCGGTGCAACATGCAGGAACCCGCAGCCGTGTTGGATCCCTCGGTATATGCAAGCAAGTTTCTTTGTAAGTTTTAAATAATTGTGGATGCTTCTTGACAGTCATAACTGCTTCGAAGATATACAAACTTGGTACTGTCAGAATACCGAGTTCGTGGAAAATTGGTCTACAGCTTATAAGAGGTCCAACGCCCATGATAGCCCTAATACATTTTTTCTGAGTAATAAAAACTTTACTCACATCTACCGAATTTCCCCATAAAAGGATACAATAGCGCAAAACTGAGGCAACATAGCCGTGATAAGCAATAATTGCTGCGTGTTTTGAAGCCACTTTGCGAGTTCGACTCAAAGCAAAAACAAATTTATTTAGGCGCGTGCATATCGTTAAAATGTGTTGTTTCCAATTAAGATTTTGGTCTAGTGTTAGGCCTAGAAACTTGGTTGATACAACTTCTTCAATTGACTCGTTTTTATAATTGATTATAGTCTTTTCTGTAGTAACATTCTGAAATAAAAAATAAGAAACTGAAGTTCAAAGACCAAGTTAGACATACTGCTATCTAAATTAATTAGGTAAAAACAGAACAACGTAGTTTTAAGGTTTGATACATTGACATCAACTTAATTCAAATGAATACAGACACATTTTGAAAAAATACTTGAATAAGATACAATTTATGGTGAATAAAGTAGTAAACAAAAAAACATACAAAACTTTTAATAGATCATAGGCATAACTCGAAATAATACTTTGTCTTTTTTTTTAATTGAGAAAAAGCTTGCCAACGCTCGGCACACTGACACATTGGTAAAAACAAACACAAAATACAATTTTTAGTGTGACAAGCACTTAAAGGTAAACATGACATACATATATAATATATAGAGATCATAACCTATTACAACACAAACATAACAAACATTACAAAAAAAAAAACAATTACTAATCAAAGAAAAAATTCAAATTACAGAAAACTAAACAAAAATCCATTTTATAGTGTGTGGGGAGCAATTATGTATATCCAGACCTAGCTCGTTTATAAGAATGCTTAATCTGGACATCGGTGAGCTTTGACCAAAACGCGTTCTACGGAAGGAGGATCATAATTTAGACGTATATCTAATAAATGTATGAACTTCTTAAAATCGTTCGTTCGTTATGTTCGGAGGTATGTTTGATGAAATGTTGGAATCAGTCAGTGAATATGTTCATTTGTATCCATTCTGATGGATGTGAAATGTCAACAGCGCCTGGGGGGACTGCCTGTCATTAGCTGATCGCTCATATTCTTGCTTGGGAAGGTAGGCACAAAATGACCAGTGGCGTTCATACCGACAACAATCGTCATTAATGAACCCCTTTCCGCTGAGGTCTGCCGTTTTCAATTATGACCAATCACTTGGAGTATCTTCCTCTGTACTACGTTAAGCCCAGATTCATCCACGTTGTATATGCGACTAGCACCATAGTTTCCTTGAGCATAGACGTCTTCGAGGAGTCAAAAATTAGTCTACTTTTACTTTGCTGAATCCAAAGGCTCTAGTAAATGACGTGCCAGTTAATCTAAGTCTTCTCACTGATAGCATGTCCTTATTTCGTTTTAAAAATAATGTAAGTCATTTTTTCCAGCCACGCCAGTCGCACCTAATGGATTTTTCAACTGATTACGTGTTGCTAACATGTACGCCATTCTTTGCACATCATTTCTCGTCAAGCCATGAAATTTGCTGTCCAGTGTCAAAATATAGTCCAAAAGATTTTTAAGGGTGGTCCCTAAGACAGTTTTCCTTCCGAGTGTAGTAGGTGCGGCTTCTTCAGAAAAAAAATAGTTTTTCTGACAATCAAAACAAAGTAGATCTTGGCACATCAAAGTGTTTTGCAGCTTTCAAATAACCCATTTTTTTCTCCTTGCTAATTTTATATTTTCCGCCATATACTCTAAATTCCATTATTGTCGCTTTGTTTTCGAGTTGACCATTCTGATAAAACATGAAAAAAAAATATAATGAACAAAATGGTGAAGCTGATACTTCACAGAACCAATTCTGGAATAATTCATAATTGGATACTGTGATCAGTCCATATTTGGATTTTCTAACGATTTCAAACTGACATTCACATTTTTAGATATATCTGAGAAAGTAATATCATCTAATACCGCTAAAACACAAAAAAAAACATCTAAACGGTGTCTAAAGTTATGAAATCATTATTGTCTGCACTTTTTGTACGAAAAATACGTATTTTTTACATACCTTAGAAAGTTATGCGGTAGCGACAAAACAATATAATGTGAGAGTATTTTCTCATAAACTAGTTTAGCAATATGAAACGAATTTACTAAAAAAAATTGAAACTAATTCATAAGACTGATTAGTAAAATTATTCGAATAACAAGATTAGTAAATTACTAATTTCGCATTCGAATATAGTTATTAATTAGTTAATTCGGTTAAATTCGAATAACGAAATCATTCATAGTCGCGTACTTGTCGAAGTGTGAATTTATATTTATTATTGTGCAAAACGTGCGATTTACAGCATAAAATGATATTAAAATATGAAAGTTGATAAAATCTCCTTATAATATTATTATTATTATTATAATAATATTAGTTTATAAGGAAATATATTATGTATGTTATAGACCAGATTGACTTTACGGTTCCAGTAAATACGTACTCACGCAAAAATGACTGATGACATTAGCCATTTTTGCATAACCACCATGTTTGTCCATAGAAGTACTAGGAAATTAATTTAATTATAAAATTATCTTACCTGTAAAATATTCGATATGAATCAATCAATCTTTTTAATCTTCACAAAACCGCATTTAAGTTTCTAAAATATATTTTTTTCTCTTTATTATCTATCACTGAGACGTCTAAGATCGCGAGTATGGGACGGAGAATCCCCCACGACAGCGTCAGACACTTTTGCGGGAATCCCCGAATTCTACATAGAGCTGAGCTAGTGGAGGAATCCCTGAAAAAGAAATTTTTATGCTAGCGATTTTTTTTTGTTTGTACATTGTTCTTAAAGTTGAGAGACCGGGTGGGTGTCACCCCAAAAAAGGTGACACCCGGTGCGGCCCGACCCCGCCGCTCCCCCTATTGCTACGCCACTGCTGCTGAGTAGTTAAGAGTAGAGAGAAGAATACAGTATTGCGGCCCTCATCAAGGGCTAAATGCCCGCACCCGTACCGCCCAACAGAGCGCGAGACAGCAAACCAATAATTATGAATCTAATTTCCTTACTTAAAGTCGGTATTAGACTTTGACAGTTCCGTGGAATAATTTTTAGCTTGAATCCAATAGCCGAGACCATTAAATCACACAAAAATATAATAATACTTACCTAAAAGTAACTTGTTTATTTATATGTATTGGGATTTTTCTTACGTGCTTTAGTTTAACGTAAATGATTTCTGATATGTCCTTAACTCCACATCTACATTTTGTGTGTGAGATACTCTTTAACTTGTTTTCCAGGTGGTGGGTACGTTTTAACGGAAATGCTTGTAAAGTTTTCCATGTGATCCCAGTCGATTGCTTCCAGATATCATTTTTTTAACCATCTGCAATCAGCCTTGCTCTTGGCCTTTAACCAAATTTTATGATTTGATTTTGAGGCAATTAGGGAATACAATTCCAATAATTTGTTTTCCCTCCGTAACTCGCAAACTATCAAACTGCGGCCAGTCTCGCCCTTCTTAGCCGAAACACGCAGTCCGCCGTTTCCAAGTTCACGTGTTGCTGAATTCTCCTTTTGTATTGTTCGGTTGATCTTTTAATGTCTTTTAAGATCCAGATCGCTATGATGTGTTGTTTTGAGTTTCTTTCCACTCTTGGATTTGTAAACTTCGTCTGAGCTAGACTGGGAAGACTTATCATCAAAGACCTCAGCCTGTTTTCGTTGCTAGGCATGCTGTTTTCTTCTATTATTTCGGTCTCCAAGATACAGTGGGTGGATGTGGACGCTTGAAAATTGTTTGTCTCTGCAGTATCTTGAGTTTTTTGGTTAACAACATTCGTGTATTTGATCCGACCGTATTTGTTGTATATAAATCAAGTCATTGTGTCTGATGATAAATAAATACAGTAATTCGTTTCTTCAAAGTCAGTTGATTTTTGAAGTGAAACTTCTTTAGGCGCATCAACGAGGAATTTGGTGACACTAAAAAGCCGCTAATTGAAATTCACTAATTACACAAAATACTGTCACTTATTACTTTAATTACACGCACTTTACACAGTTGGACCCTGTTGAGTCAATGAACTGAATCTACTTCCATTTGAGTATGGCCCTTTTCTAGATATTTTTGAGTAATAACTATGTTCTTAGCCATAGCCAAACGCAACAATGCATTGGAGACAATGTTATTTCTGTTCTGCGCTGTACAGCCATCTGTAAATATCACAACGTCCTTCGGATCATTATCCAGTAATTTGGTCAAATAATCCATAGAAAATGAAGCGTATGTAGTGGCTTTTAAATCGCATGCCGTCTCATCGAACCAGTAACAAGTGACTCCATTATTACCCAGATTGTAGACGGAAAAGTTATGGACGGCAAGTTTTGTTTTAAAGTAAAGTGCACTCGCATTGAGGAAAGGACATAGTTTTACAGCTTGAATATCTGCTGTTAATGCATGTATGGCACCTTTCTGTGCCGCTTCTTTGTCAGAAGTTTTTTTCAGCTCTAGCTAAGTCTTTCCGTTCAATATGTTCAGTATACTGCTCATGCGATATATTACCTGCTTTGTAAGCGCAGCACTGGTCGCATGCATCTTTTTTAGGCTGAAACAACCCTATATTCTCTTCAAATAAAATACTTTCAAATACTTTTCTTGAAGCTACCCGTGGTTCATTTTCCGAAAATGAATAGTCTACATATTATAGACGATACAATTGCGCTTTTGATTGGATTATGGGTTCTAAATATAATTTTGAAGTAGATTGCCTACAATAATGGGACGGCAGTTTCGGTAATGCAGTTAAATATTTTCTAGCTAATTCTCTTTTGGGTTCTGTGACTGCTGTATCTCTTGGTTCAGATTCATTACTTTTGTTCTTTTTCTCCCCTAGCCAATACCTTACTGTCCATTCTTTTATACCCAAGGTTTCCAAAAATGTTTTTAAACAAACCCTTTCCTTTTTATCGTTAACTTTTAAATAGTAAATTTTGGTATGACTTCGTCTTGAGTTTGAGCTTTTAGTTTTTCTAGTTGTCGGTTTCAGATCCACCATTGAAGATACATACATTTTCTTTTCTTGCCAACTCATATTCCAAAAGTCTTTAAAAATGTTTGATCGAACTTCTTCTGTTAATTTTGAACAATACATAGCTTTACCACCGAAACATCGCGATGACATACATAGTGGACCCATTATTCTTGCTGGTTTTGGATCATTTTGTACATATTTATTACCATCTTTTTTGAATCCTCTATACTCCTTTCCCATCATTCTCTGTCGCTTATTTTTCGTTCTTTCCCAATTATTTGGATTCCTTTTGCACTTCCTTCTCTTTGATGTTTGTTCTATTTCCCTTTCGGGAAACCATTCCACATTTTCTGGTGATAATGGCTTTACATTCGTTATATCTGAGAGAGCAACGAAAGAAGGATCTGCAGCTGAATCATCAGATGAAAAGTCAAGGCCACCGTTATCTTGCTCTATTACATTAACGTTCACATTTATGGGAGTAATAATACTATCATCATCATTTTGTGTTAAAGCGGGATTTAAAACTGTTACAGTGGTAAGTGTAGAAAACTCGGATGTCAAATTTTGACTTTGACTTTCTGGATGTAATGACGCAGGGATGGGGATGTTTGCGATTATGGTTGATTTTGATAATTAAGCCTATTTAATATTTCTCTCTTCTTTTTGAGCAATATTTTACGCCGTTCACCCAGTTCTTTCAGAGTTACCACGTTACTGTTCAAGTCAGCATTTTCTAAAAAAAACTCATCTGGATTTCGATCCTCCATTATTATGTGCTTACTTGACACTTGAATGTATGTATCTAAAAATAAAAATTAAAAACCTGTAAATTTGTTTGTAATGCAATACCGCTTAATTACCGACACAACTAAATAACATAATGTCACCGCAACCGCGTAACTACGCGTCAATAAATTATTACAGAATTTGACGTAGCCTACAGCATTCAAGCATAAACACAAACATAAATATGTTTATAAATTAGTATATAAAGCTTATAAACAATCAAAAAGTACTTACATGGTCGTTATCCTAAGCAAAACTTATTTTTTCGGGAGCATGCGGTAATCGTGTCATAATTTCTTCACCGTTTGGGTAAATACGCGGACTTGCAGCAAACTTCAGGCATACTACTGTTCCGCTGTATTGCTACGATGCCAAAAAAGAGGTTTCCCATTGGCTAATTCAAATTGCGTGAGAGCTAGTTTAAGCCAATCCGCATCAAGGATCTATTGGCGCGATATCTCAATTTTGTTCCTTTTGCTGTTACGCGGTATTAACAAAGTGCTCTTCCGCGGTATTGCACGCGCAGCGACGTTATGTTTGTGTATTTTTGGCAATCCATACATTTTTGGAGGTTTTACGCCGGCTGTTGTTAAAGATTTGACGTCTAGTGACAGTGTTTCAGAATATTTAGTAAGGAGGCTAGATGTTTGTTTTATTACCTTGTTTGTGGGATCTTTATCGACTTTTTTATAGGTATTGACATTGTTTAAGAGGAGAGCCATCTTGCTTTCGTATTCCGACGTATCCATAACAACGGTTGCGTTCCCTCTGTCAGCTCGGAGTACTACCTACATCTTCGTTCGCCTTTAGCTCCGCGAGAGCCTTTGTTTTAGCGAAAGTCGCGACGTTTGACAGTTGTCTATTGATGTTCTGTGCTAGTTTTTCAAACTTTTTTATTTGTATGACTTTGCAGTTACTGTTTTTTTTTTTATGTAATAGGAGGCAAACGGGCAGGAGGCTCATCTGATGTTAAGTGATACCGCCGCCCATGGACACTCACAATGCCAGAAGGCTCGCAAGTGCGTTGCCGGCCTTTCAAGAATTGGTACGCACTTTTCTTGAAGGAGCCTAAGTCGAATTGGTTCGGAAATACTTCTGTGGGCAGCTGGTTCCACATAGTGGTGGTGCGCGGCAAAAACTGCCTTAGAAAACGCTCAGTTGTGGAACGACGGACGTCGAAGTGATACGGATGGTATTTTGTACGTCCGATGATGAAACTCAGCTGCAGGTATTAGACCGAACAACTCCTCTGAACACTCTATGGTCAATGCGGTAGAAGATGCAGAGAGATTCCACATCTCTACGCAACGCCAAGGGATCAAGCCGCACGGAGGAGTGACTGGTCGTCGACGATTCGAACCGCTCTTCGTTGAATACGGTCAAGTGGAAGGAGCTGGTACTGGGGAGTTCCCGCCCAGAGGTGAGAACAGTATTCCATGTGGGGCCGAATTTGCGCTTTATAGAGTTGCAAGCGGTGGCCCGGAGTGAAGTACCGTCTCGCCTTGTTGAGCACACCAAGCTTTTTGGAGGCTAATTTAGCCTTTGCTTCGAGATGACCGCGAAACTGAACGTTATTCGATATGTCAACGCCCAGTATTCCGATGCTAGCTGAAGCTTTAAGGAGAGTGTCTTCAAAGAGGGGAGTACAAACTCGACAAAGGGAGTTTTTTTAGCGGAATTTGTTATGAGCCCGAGTGTTTAAGATGTTTATGGACTGCCTCCAATCTGTTTCCGACAATATCTCACGTAGTTCCTCCGTTTCATTTTGGATTTGATTGTTTAGTCGTTGATACTTCTGTGTCCACGTTTGTCACACATGTGACAAGTTTAATTAACAATTTTCTACTTGTTGTTTCAAGAATAGTGGCGCAACACAGTTGGGGATGATGTTGTGGTCTCTGCATCTTTTAAGAAAATTTATGAATTCTAGGAGATGCCTTTGTTTAGTTGAATTCCAGTCGTCTAATTTTGTTTGAATTTTCCAGTCAGTACCGTCATTTATAATTGTTAAACTTATGGTCTAAATACTCGCTCACGCTATAAAAGCACCTTGACTTTAACTTCCGTAGGAGATGAAGCTTTTTTTTTTAAAAAAGGAGGTGAAAATGCACAAATGCAGGCCCGCGCAGCACAGGCTCAGGGAGAAGCCTGTCATCAATCCCCGCTATCTTGGCATCAATCATGCCACCCACCGACTGCATTATCTCCCCTATAAAACTCTCCCTCATTTCATTCAAAAGCCACTCCATCATCTGACAAAGGGCATCGGGAGCTTCTTATTGAGGGATCTGAAGAAGCAAAGTACCACCTACAATTTCCCCACAATCACAGAGGCCTCCCTCCGAATCTGCGCCGTGAAAAGCCGCCCCTGTTGGTGGCTTACTCTTAGCCGGAGGGGAAGCATTCCCGTTACTACTTCCAGCCGGGCTCTTCATGAAGGCCCGCTTCCTACTAGAGGACATTATCCATAATAAATCTTTATCTGATGCTATTTCCGTAGCACCTTTGCATAACTCCGTTGTATTGGTAAACGAATCTACAGTAATCAGCTGCATACTTGCCTTAGGTTTACAATAATATGGCCGAATTTCTCGTGATATTTTTTTTTTCTCTTGCGGGTAGGTCCTTCGATAAGATTTCGTATAAAATCAATTAATTGCTTAGGAATGTCACAGTCTCCACGAATGACATCATCAGCAGTTATGTTGCGAGAAAGCGGATGAGTATCTATATTTTTAATGCAGCTTCTCAAATAATATGCTACATTTTCAAACTCATAATCATTTCTTGTCTCCAAAAGTTTGAAATTGTTTGCGATTACAGAGACGTCCATGTCTGTTTTATACACAATTTTTTTGTTACGTATTCTCATTGACGCTTCAATCGTAATACGATCATCGAATTTCTTCATTAATTTTTTTTGCAAGGTTTCACATCGGTAATCTTGAATATCATCGAAATCAATTTCATGATTTCTAAACTCTATCAATAAAGCTTGGTATCTTAAAAATAATTGAGCCAAGTACATAACCTTGTTTTTTTCAATTATTTCTGTTTCAATGAAATTCGATATGGATTGAAAGGCCAACTGATGTAACTGTCTATATTTACTATAGTTGGAATGGGTAGATTCTTCCGTGGACCGCTTATTTTTCGATTGATACACTGCGTAACAAGGCAGATGGTACGCGATAGTTTGATGTTGAAGTTTGGAGAGAATCACCGAATCTACTAGTGGTACTTTGTTATCATTAGGGACAGTAAGATTGACCAGCTTCTTCCCACATCTCTTTTTACTGTGGTCACAAAAAAGGCAAATAATTTTGCTTGATGTCGATGCTGTTGATGTTGACTGCTCCTAAAAGAATTAAATCAATCTTTGAGTAAAAATCGATGAAAATAAATATAATAGAAAATACAAGTTTTACATTAATAGATTTTCATATCATTTTTTTAAAAAAGCTTAAAAAAAACAAAAAAAAATTTATTACCTTGTCAAAGTCCCCAGAAGTTTGGGACAGGTCTTCAACATTTCATCAGGTGCCCGAATACATATGATTCTCCGGTTATATTCTTATCATCTATACTATTTAAATGTTCTATGCCTGCTAAAATCGTAGTATTTATAAATCTTTGGAATGTTTGGGTCGCGTTACGCAGTCCAAACGTCATCCTTGGGAACTCGTAAAGTCCGAATGGGGTAATAATCTCTGTCATTCCAATATCTTCCGCCCTAATTTTTATGACATGATACGCTCGACAAATATCAATTTTTGAAAAAGCTTTTTTGTTGTGTAAACCATAGGTAAAGTCTTGAACTCTGGGAATCGCGTAACGGTCCGGTTTTGTTATTGCATTAAGCATTCTATAGTCCCCGCAAGGTCGAATGTCTCCGTTCTTTTTAGGCTATAGGTGCGCGAGAGGCGAGCACCATATAATAATAGTTTTTAGGCTAGGTAGTGGCCGCAGTGGGAAGACAAAGAAAACTTCTTGACTTTAAAAGTATATAATAATGATAACAGCATATACAGAAGGAACGAAGTTGAATGAAAAGAGTTGTAGTACAATTAGAAAAAAGAAATCACAAGAAAGTACAAGAATAGATAAATTATACGTCACTAAGGGATAGTTCCTAAATCGCGCATGGGTTTCGCCTTTGACAGTTCTAAACGCACTGCCCGCTGGTCGCGCTGCCACTGGCTGCAGGCTCCACCCACCGCGCCCGTGTCGTCACACATAGCGGTAAAATCACCGACGCGGTGGAAAAGAGGAGTGATATCGTTGTTCGCCACATCAGCCCCCCCCGGAGACCGTTACGGTCGAAAATAATCCGGGAACCGAACACGACGCCCGCTCCGAGTACAGCGATCTTCCACCACCGCTGGCTTCGACACTGGATATGGTGATGAAAGTATGAATGCGGGCTTGACTCTGTCCACTGAAACAGTTACAACTTTACCGTTAAATTCAATGACAAAGGTTTTATCTCCTCGCTTTATCACTTTGCAAGGGCCCACATACGGTGCTTGCAGTGACTTTCGTACAGCGTCTTGGCGAAGAAAGACATGTGAAGCCGTCTGTAAATCTTTGCTGACGAAAACTGGAGTAGCACCATGGCGAACTACTGGTGTAGGCTTAAGTTCTTGCATTTTATTCCTGAGTCGTGACACGAAATCGGAATAGTCTACGACCTGTTTTGGAGAATGGTTGAAGAACATACCAGGCAGTCTCAATGTTTCTCCGTATACTAACTCTGCTGACGACGACCCAACGTCTTCTTTCCAAGCAGTCCGAATGCCAAGAAGAACCACCGGAAGAGCTTCAACCCAGTCGTCGTTAGCATGGCACATGATCGCTGCCTTGAGTTGCCGATGAAATCTCTCCACCATACCGTTTGCAGCCGGGTGATAAGCTGTGGTCTGTAAATGATTAAATCCCATTATACGTGACAATTCCTTAAAGAGATATGCTTCGAACTGCCTGCCTCTATCAGTTGTTATCTTCTCAGGACAACCGAACCTTGAGATCCAACCATAAACAAAAGCATTGGCCACAGTGTCTGCTTTAATGTCCTGAAGCGGCATGACCTCCGGCCACCGCGTGAAACGATCAATAGCTGTTAGGCAATATTTAAATTCGTGACGCATTGGTAATGGGCCTATGAGGTCGATGTGGACGTGGCTGAATCTATCCGATGGAGCAACAAAATCACTGACAGGAGCACGGGTATGTCGAATAACCTTCGAGCGTTGACACGCGAGGCAGCTCCGTGTCCATAATCTGCAGTCCTTTTTAATATTGGGCCAAACATACCTCTCAGAGACAAGCCTAAAGGTGCGCTTACACGGGCAACTAAAATTGCTCAATTCCAGTCAATACTCGTCAATTATGACGTCACGACTACATCAAGCAATTTACGGCAACGGCAACAAGCATCAATACTGCGCAATACAATATTGAGCGATATGGCGCAATTTCATCAACTAGGCAATACTGTCATACACGAGCATTTCAGTTTTCGCTCGCTATGGACGACATTCTTCTTGCTGCGGCGGCTTGTAGTGCTTTTTTTATTATCAATCAAAAAACAAAAAAGAAAGAAAAGGAATAGGCGTATCTGTGTGTAAATTTTTTTACTGCCTCATCATGAGATGTTTTAAACTGCAGCCCAATAGCAGTCCATTCATCTTTTTTTAGCAAACGATCCTTAAAATCAGGACTTTTGTTATCCCACAAACAAGGATGCAAGCGAACTGCATCAATAAAGTTAATAATCTTTTCATTATTCCACGACAAAGGCGACGCCATTTTAAAATGCAGTCAAAACACAAAAAAAACAAAAATCAAAAATATGTATAATGTTACGAGGAAACGGTTCAATTTCACACTGTTAGTTAATTAGCACACTGTAATTATTACGGACATTTCTTCGGCTTTGCAAAATTCCAAATGAATCAATTAAAAAATACGACATAAAATAATCAAGCTGTTGGCTATGTTTGACTAGACGGTAAAAAAAAAAAAAAGGAACACCGTTGTGTGAACCAAAACAGAATGAAGTTGTAATTTATAAATAATTATAAAATATATTATTTATAAATTACAACTTAACTTAACTTTTATTTTAATTTATTATTTTTAATTTATTTATAACACAACAAACAGAGGCTGACTACGCGCTTGCCGCGCCCTATCCTACTTTCACCCGACCTCTCGCTCTCCCCGCAAGCAAGACGGCAAGCTGCAAAACAAACAAGTGCGAATGAGATATATACAAAAATTGCTAGGAATTTCCAAGTCCATTGGATATTCGTCAATTCGTATCTGCGACATTGAGCGATATGAAATATCTGGAGCAATTAGAAGCAATATCGCCGAAATAATTTATTGAAATTTATTGAATTTATTGAAATTTATTGAATTTATTGAAATTGCTCCATTAATTGCTCCAGATCGGTCCATTCGTGTTGCCGAGCAATTATTGCCCTCGTGTAAGCGCACCATAACGCTTGCTCTGATCCCTGGATGACTCAATCCGTGCAAGCAGTCGAAAGCTTGCCGTCGAAATTGAGGAGTCAAGTAAGGTCTTGGTGTTGAGCATGACATATCACAAATAACTGTCTTACCAGAGCCAGAAATGTCTATTTATTTATTTATTTATTTATTTATTTAGTTATCAAGCCCACAACATCACACACAGTCATAAGTCCACCAACTATTTCACAAAATCCCACATCTAAAATGTGTGACAGTTAATGCAAGCATAAGTTTCTCAGTAAAAAAATCAAATAGAAATTAAAAAAAAAACACAACTAAAACACACACGACAATGCAAGCACACATTAAAATAAAATCAATTTTTTAACATAAACATAAAATAAAATAAAATTAAATTTTCAACAACTGTGCAGAAAAAAAAAAGAAAAATCAGAAAAACAGCGAAATTAGGTTCTAGAAAGGCACTCCACAATGCTTTCTCTAAAACCGATCAGCCCACTACCGAATATATCCAGCTCTGGATACGCTGTGTTCAATTTGTTGAAATCGCGAAGAATTCGAACGAGAGGTGCCTGAACTCCTAGGTTGGTTTTGGCAGCTGGAATTTGGAATATATTGTTGATTTTAAACCTAGGGAATGAGTAAGGGACGACAAATTTGATTTCCTGTAAAAGGTCACTGTTCTGTAAATGGTTGTTGAGCAATTTATACAAGAATGTAACACCGGCTAGAGCTCTCCGATTGTTAAGAGATAACATATTAAATTTTTTAAGTCGCTGATGGTACGGTTGTCTATGTGAAAATCCTCTGCTTATGAAAGCTAGGTGTCGCGTAAAAGATCTTTGTAGGCTTTCAACGCGTTGCGAATGGATCGTATATAGTGGATTCCATATAATACTACCAAACTCAACATGACTGCGCACTAGAGCGTTGTACAAAATTGTTTTAGTCGTACAACCAAAACAATCCGCATTCCGTTTAAGAAATCCAAGCATTCGTGCGGATGTGGTGACTACTTTATTGACCTGCGATGTAAACGTTAATTTTTTGTCAATAATAACACCCAAATGCAATGTCTATCTTCTGCAGGTCCAAAGAACAGTTATTGCTGCGTAACAAGTGTTGTAGCTCGTTGTCTACGATCTGTGCTGATGAGAGAGTATTTAAATTAATCACGCTAGTAATTGTTTCTACTCTGGATAGAGCGTCAGCTACTACTTTATTATCGCCTGAAACATGCTTTATGTTTGTAGTGAACTGCGACACAAAATCAAAATATCTAAATTGTCGAGGTGAGCAGTTCTCAGAAGCTTTTTGAAACGCAGAAACGATTGGCTTATGGTCGGTAAAAATTTAAAAATCCTTAGCTTCAAGCATATGCCGAAAATATTTCACAGCTTCATAAATCGCCAAAAGCTCTACTATACTTCTTTTGAGCGGTATTTAATTTCCTCGAGAAGAAACAGAGTGGTTGCCATACAGAATTAATATTCTGCTGTAAGACAGCTCCGATTGCGTTGTCTGATGCATCCGTCCACAATGTCAGTTCTGCAGCTGGATCAGGATGCGCTAAAAGAGTAGCTTTAGCTAAACTAGCTGGCGGCGCGGGTGGTTAATATATAAAAACTTTATACCTATAAGCTATATTTTTGAAGTGGTTATATAGTGGACTGTATTTTTTTTTCTTATTGATACCTAATATGATTGCTCAATAATGGACAATGGGAAAAAGAAAGAAAGGATGTCGGCACAGTACCTTGAACCTCGTGGCTTCTTCTAGTGGCTTCTTTCCTTTGTTGTACACCAATGAACAATCACTTTCACAAATTATACTTAATCAAGTTAAAGTTAATTGAATTTAAGTATAGTTAAAGTTTATAATAAAAAATTAAATGTTTAAAAGAAAAAAGGAAGCGTTGCGAGCGTGCGGCGAATAATCAACCATATCGCGGGTCATCAAAATTGTCACTAATTAATTCTTATTAGAGACTCATCGTCGTGCGCGCCACCTATAGCCCGTTCCGGAACTAGTACCGTCATAGGATTGGGACATAAAATAGGTGGGTGATGAGACATGCGTCTAGGAGCTATTAGGATGGGTATATGTATTGAGCAACCATTATTTAAAATCAAAATTATTATAAAAATAACAATCCGGCGCAACCATTCCCCGGGTTTGAAGGGTTGCCTTCAAGAAAAACTAGAAAGTAAATGAATAGCGATATGAAAAGCGATCTAAAGAAAAGTTTATTAAAGTAACTAACTTAACTAACGACTTATACAAATGTAAACTAACTAACCTAACCAATGACCTATACAAATGTAACTATTCGCTAGGTAGGGGACAGAGACGTACTACAGGACGTAGATAGGTACCTGACGCCGTGCGAACGCGGACCACACGTATAACACCGTTTGAACCAGGGAAAACTTCCTCCACTATTCCTAACGGCCAGTGGAGCGGCGGTGCATTGTCAACAATAACTATTACAACATCGCCGTTAGAAATTGGCTTAGCTGGCGTGTTCCACTTGTTCCGCATTTGCAATGTATGAAGGTAATCAGACTTCCAGCGCTTCCAAAAGGACTGCACTAGCTTGTCAACTAACTCATGACGCGAAAGCAAATGTAATCTATCTTCTTCGATTTCTCTAGCTGGTAGATACTTTAGCGGTGTTAAGTTTAAAAAGTGAGCGGGTGTTAACGCGAGAGGTTCCGATGGATCATTGGATAGCGTGCGACACAGTGGCCGCGAGTTCATCACTGCCTCGATCTGTGCAAGTACAGTGCTGAACTCCTCGAAAGTTAGAATTTGATCACCTATCACCCGGTATAAATGAGTTTTAAGGCTCTTAATATTGGTCTCCCAATTGCCACCAAAATGACTAGCAGCTGGAGTATTTAATGACCAATCAATGCGAGTTTCAGCTAATACGTGACCAAACTCAGAGTTAAAGTGTTTTGAAACTAAGAAGTCGTGTAACTCTGAAAGCGTGCGCTTTGCGCCTACGTAATTAGTGCCGTTATCTGAGTACACGCGAGCCACGTGACCACGGCGTGATAGAAAACGCTTAAAAGCTCCAAGGAAGCTAGCTGTGCTTAAATCACCTGCAACTTCTATGTGAACAGCGCGGGTGGTTAAGCACACAAAAAGACATACGTATGCCTTGAACGATCGAATTCCGCGTCCACGCGAACTACTCACTTTAAAGGGACCCGCGTAATCAGTGCCAGTATGTACGAAGGGTTTAGCGACTGGTGTAACTCGGCAGGAGCGATGATCGGCCATTTCAGGAAAATTTGGTTTAGCGCGGAGTCGAAAACAGGGTAAACATTTGTGAACCCGGCTTCGAATTAAATTTCGAGCGGACAAAATCCAATATTTTTGTCGCAGTATGGACATCAATAGCTCCGGACCTGCATGGCAATTCAATTTGTGATAGTAATCCACTATAAGGTTCAAAATATGACCTTTCCGAGGAAGTATGAGTGGGTGCTTACTATCAAATTTTATATCGGCGTTACTCAACCGTCCTCCGACTCTAAGAAGTTTGTTCTGACAGAATGGCTTGAGGCGCTGAAAAGCAGGGGTACATCGCTTGCCTGTACGTAAGCTAGCGATTTCGTTGAAGAAGTGGGACCGTTGAAGGTCACTCAGTATTAAATTCTCAGCGTAATCTAAATCCGCTGCGATTATAGTACTACGCCGAGGCAATAATTTAACAAAACGACAGATATAAACGACAATGCGTAAAAGCTTTGACCAAGATGAAAAACGATTTGCAAGCGTAATTAAAAAACTTTTCTCAACCTTTTCACAATCTTCAGCAGTGAAAAGAGTTACATGCTTCTTTACTTCTGGAGGCTGAGACACAGTAGATGGATTAAAATCCGTAACAGGCCAAAAACTTGGATCTGATAGAATCCATTGAGGACCGCAGAACCAAAGCGGATGATCAATAATTTGTGCGGGACTAAGGCCACGAGATAAACAATCAGCGGGGTTTTCATGGCCAGCGATGTGATAAAATGTTTGCGGTGGAAATTCATTCTGAATCTTAGAGACTCTATTAGCAACGAAAGTATCCCAACGATGGGGCGAAGAATGCACCCAACAAAGAGCTACAGTCGAGTCTGAGAATGCGAAAACACGATCTATATTAATGCGATTGTTACAAGCATTAATTACATTAGCAATTAAGTTGCTTAGGACTAATATTGCACAAAGCTCGAGACGTGCTAGCGAAACCACCTTACGAGGTGACACTTTAGATTTAGCGCTTATCAGACTAAATGAGTTTTTGCGAAGACCTTGACTGTCTCTTACATGAAAGTACACAACTCCTCCGTAGGCCCTTTCACTTGCGTCCGCGAAGCCCACAACGGTTACAACATCACCGGTCGCGATGCCAACATGTCGTGGAATTTTAATTTTTCCAAGAAGAGGAAGTTCCTCCTTAAAACGGGACCACTGTTGAATGATGTGGTCGGGTGGTATATCATCCCAATCACATTCACACAACCAAAGTTGTTTTATGAGAAGTTTTGCGTATAAGACCACTGGTGCAACAAATCCCATGACGTCCCATATCCTAGCGACACACGACAGAATAGTACGCTTTGTACATGATTCAGCGGTTGTACAGATTTTAAGACTAAAATTATCTGTTGCGGGTGACCAGCATAGTCCTAGTACCTTATGCGAATCAGAGTCATCAAACTCCTTTACAGCAGAGAGACGATGCGACGGCGTAATAGAATCCAAGACTCTTTGTGAATTGCTTGTCCATTTAACAAGATCAAATTGTCCGGCTTTCATCAAAGCGATTACTTCCGCAGCGGTGGAAATAGCCTCATCTTCGTTGTCAATGCTGTAGACAAAATCATCCATATACAAACCAGTGTTGACTGTTTGCTGTGCTCGCGGATAAGAAGCACCTTCATCCAAAACTAGTTGCTTTATGGTACGAAGAGCGTGAAACGGGCTAGACTTCAGTCCGAAACAAACGCGGTTAAATTCATAAACCTTCAAGGGTTCTTGCGGCGAAAAGCGATACAGAATGCGTTGGAACCTTCGGTCACATGGCCGAACTCCAATGCAAAGAAACATTTGACGAATGTCAGCGGAGAGAGCGATACGAAATAAGCGAAAATTAACAATAATATGAAATAAGTTTCCTTGCAGATTTTGCCCATTATATAAAATGTCATTAAGCGAGATTTGGGAACTGGACTTTGAACTACCGTCCAGGACGATGCGTAATTTAGAAGTAAGTTTATCTTCTCTTATTATACCATGGTGAGGTATTGTATATGAGGGTAAATTCCGAGTTTCTTCAGTGTCTAGAGGAGCGGGAGAAATATAACCCTTATTTAAATATTCACTAATCACGTTATCATACGCCTCCTTTAATTTAGGTGATGCCTGCATTTTACGTTCTAAACAAAGAAAGCGATTTTTAGATTTCTTAAACGAATCACCTAATGAAAATACATCCCCTTTAAATGGAAGCGCGACCATGTATCGACCATCCGTATTACGGGTAGTCGTGCTGCTATAGATATCTTCACACGCCTTATCATCTGGACTCAATAGTTGCGGGACGCTTACTTCTTCTATCTGCCAGAATTTACGTACAGCAGCGTCAAGCGGGTCTGTAGCACAACAATATGAGACAGACGCGTGATCATCAACTAGAGCAGGAGCAGAGCCAACAATAACATAACCTAACACGGTCTCTAAAGCGAGCGGTGAGAGACAATCAGACTGACCTTGAACTTTACGAGATAAGAGAAGGTGAGGAAAGATTGATGCTCCAATCAATAAATCAATATCTCCAGGGGCAGCGTAGGTATCGTCAGCTAAAGGTAAATTATTAAAATTGATCAACGACGAAATGTCCACAGACACAGTGGGCAAGCGCTCCGTGACCTTGTCGACTACGAGCGAGTCCATGCTAAAACACACACTGAGATCAAAGCGGGAAAAGAATTTCACCGAAACCGAACTTAGAATTGGCTTAGTAGTGCCTCCAATCCCTTTAACCACTGAACATGAGGGTTTCTGGTTTGTCTCTAAACCCAACCGCTGGCATAAGCTGCGACTGGCGAAATTACTTTGCGAGGCACTGTCCAATAAAGCGCGAACATTATGTTCCCTACCTTGCGTATCGAAAACAACAACGCGTGCGGTAGCGAGTAACACCGTAGTAGGTGTGCGGGAAGCATTACAATTAGATAAGGAACACAATGTGACGTCATGGGGTTGCGTGGGTATCACCGAAGTTCGCCCTTTATTAGCGGTACTACTGTCAACCGAAGTGCTGGCAGTGGCAAGGCGCACAGTGGAAGCGGCATTGCGCAGCGTGGCAGCAGGTAAAGTGCGTGAAGTACTGTCACCAGACGTGGTGCCCGTGGCTGCGGCACTGTTATTGTTATCAAAGTGTAGCATGGTGTGATGTAAATTATTACACCGGCGGCAGCGTGAAGAAGAGTTACAGGCAGTTAATCGGTGCTTCCCTAAGCAGTTCACGCACAGATTATTCGCCTTAACAAATTTAAAACGATCGTTAGCGGTCATGTTATGAAAAGTTGAGCATGTATACAAATGTTCGTGTCGCGTATTACATAGGGAACACACCGGCTGCGTAGGTGCAGTCGCCGTATTTAGGTATGTATGCGTTGGTTTTGAAATTTTGCTTGTCGTATCATATTTACGTTCCAAAGTTTTCTTAGCATCATATTTACCTGAAGTGCGTTGTAATATTTTTAGGTGTTCGCGAATAAAACTTATAAACTCTTTACATGTTGGTATATCGGAACTGCGTTTATACAGTTCGAATAAACGAACTGTTTCAGTATCTATTTTTTTTAAAGCCATATACATAAATATGAAATCGGCTAGGTTATTTAGCTTTAAATGCTCAAGAGCGGCAACTGAAGAAGAAAATGTTTCTAAAAATTGCTCAAGGTTATTTGCGTTTGCGATAGACATCGCCTTAATATCGTAAATTTGATCTAAATACGAGGTTGCGAGATAACGCTTGTCTTCAAATTTATCAATAAGTGTTTTATAAATTATTTCATAATTTTCGGCGCAAGGTGTAAACCCGGCGCAAGCCGATTTTGCTTTGCCTGTTAGTTTTCCTAATAGGTAATATATCTTTTCACCGTCCGTAAGTGATTCATTTTCATGTATGGTAGTCTTAAAGTTATTATAGAATAAAGGCCAAGACCTAATATCCCCGTCAAAGGATACCAACTCGATAGGAGGCAAATAGGGCTTAAGTCTCCGCGGCGTATCCTTATCAGTTTTATTAGCACTACAGCTGTACAGTGAAACTAAGCGCTTGACGCGGCCGTAAAGCCGCTCGAATGCAATTAAACTTTTAAATTCCGGAGTCGCCTTAGGATTTAAAGATAACAAGCGATTATTATAATCATCTAAGATTTTAATAAAGTCTGAGCGTAACGTTTCAATATTACTACTCGCGTCGAGAAAGTTTTCCCTCATCAAAGGGTCACAATCCGCATCTTTAGATAGGTCAAATACCTCTTGTAAACAAATGAATATTGTATTCCGTTTTTGTTCTAATAATACGAGTTGTATATCTACAGCTAGATCTGTAGATTCCGAAAGCTTATCACTCTTCGGCATTTTTAATTTAAAATAGCGGTAAAATTATAGTTATTCAATATAATAGAATAGAAAAGCAATTAAGAATAATTAGGTATAAAGTTTACTGAAGTGCAAATATGTTGCAGTGACCGACAAACTATGCCAAGGTCACGCGTACGTTTAACAAAGCGATGCAAGTAATGATCGAAATGTTATAAGCATAACATTACAATTGCTTAGCTAAATTATTATACTAAGCGAAAATAAGCGGAGCGTAGGTAAAAACTATAAGCTAAGAAATATATCTCGGCTCGTTTGGACCAACTTTTATGGCGGCGCGGGTGGTTAATATATAAAAACTTTATACCTATAAGCTATATTTTTGAAGTGGTTATATAGTGGACTGTATTTTTTTTCTTATTGATACCTAATATGATTGCTCAATAATGGACAATGGGAAAAAGAAAGAAAGGATGTCGGCACAGTACCTTGAACCTCGTGGCTTCTTCTAGTGGCTTCTTTCCTTTGTTGTACACCAATGAACAATCACTTTCACAAATTATACTTAATCAAGTTAAAGTTAATTGAATTTAAGTATAGTTAAAGTTTATAATAAAAAATTAAATGTTTAAAAGAAAAAGGAAGCGTTGCGAGCGTGCGGCGAATAATCAACCATATCGCGGGTCATCAAAATTGTCACTAATTAATTCTTATTAGAGACTCATCGTCGTGCGCGCCACCTATAGCCCGTTCCGGAACTAGTACCGTCATAGGATTGGGACATAAAATAGGTGGGTGATGAGACATGCGTCTAGGAGCTATTAGGATGGGTATATGTATTGAGCAACCATTATTTAAAATCAAAATTATTATAAAAATAACAATCCGGCGCAACCACTAGCCTTACAAGACAAAAACGCCTTTTGCAGTTCATCAGTCCAAGTAATATTAGTACTGGGCTTAACAGCTGGACCAGAAAGAAGCTCGTGCAACGAGGCCTGCACTTTAGCTGCACTTGGAATAAATCGTCGATAAAAGTTAATCATACCCAGAAATCTCCGAAGCTCCTTGATCGTCTTGGGTGGAGGAAAATTCTGGATAGCTTCTACCTTTTGTGGAAGTGGTCTGGTACCTGCAGAGGAAACGATGTATCCGAGGAATTCCACTTGCGACTCACCAAACACGCATTTAGATGCGTTTATCATTATTCCATAGTCCTGGAGGCGCTGGAATACTTGATGCAGGTGGTCCAGATGTTGAGTTTCGTTCTGCGAAGCTACTAAAATGTCATCAATGTAGGGATAACAGTAAGGCAAATCTCGTAGTATTTCATCCATAAAGCGTTGAAATGTTTGAGCAGCATTGCGAAGGCCAAAACTCATGAATGGAAACTCAAACATTCCAAATGGAGTTGTAATAGCTGTCTTCGGAATATCGTCCGGATGAACTGGGATTTGGTTGTATGCTCTAATTAAGTCTATTTTACTAAAGACTGAACATCCAGAAAGGTTATGAGCAAAGTCAGCTATGTGACGAACCGGATATCGGTCGGGTATTGTGCGTGCATTCAATGCACGATAAAATAAAAAAATAAAATAAAATATGTTTATTATGGAACATAAGATACATGTATCACTTATTCCACGTCATTAAATTTGAAGGCATCCCTACTCATCGGCAAAGAAGACAGAGGGTGTAGGCCGAGAGAAAAAGCCGGCGTAAAAAACTCTCGGTACTCTTTTAAAACAGCAAATCATCAAACAACACTTATTTAAAACAAATATCGCAAATTGATTAGAAGTAGCCTGTCTAGCACTAGTCCCAGGCCCTTTTATCAACTAGATAATCGTTGACTTTATAGTAAGCCTTTTTACACACTTTTCTTTAATACATTTCTTAAATTTATTGAAAGGCAGTGATAAAAGAGCCTCTGGGATTTTATTAAAGAAGAGAATGAAGACGTACCGAACAAATAATCGCCACATGGTCGCCATTCGTTGTTTTTCTTCGGAACTAAGTGTAATGGCGATGACCAAGGACTGTCAGATCTGCGAGCAATACCTGATCTTACCATATCCTCGAACTCCCTCACAGCAATACGGAGTCGATCCGGTGCCAACCGACGAGGACGACTGTAGACTGGAGGTCCAGAAGTAGTACGGATATGATGCAGCGTATTGTGCTTAACCTTGAGCATAGACAGGTCTCCAGCTGGACGAGTGATGTCGGGAAACTGTGACAAAATTTCGTGGTAACGTGAGGTACCTGTAAAAGATTTGATGTGGCATAAAGCAAATGAAGCAGGTTTAGCTGAAGCACTAAGCGATGTAACATTGTCTATCAAGCGATTAAGCCTAGCATCAACAAGCAAATTGAAATGCGACAGAAAATCTATGCCTATAATAGGTTTGGTTACATCAGCTATCACAAACCGCCACGTAAAAGCTCGTCTGAGTCCAAAATCTAATATTAAATTAAACCATCCAAAAGTGTCTATCACTGAACCATTCGCTGCAAAAAGTTTATAGTCTGTTTTATTCAAGCGTCTATTATTAAATATTTTTTTTGGATAAACACACAAATCGGAACCGGTGTCAATTAAAAATTGTATTTTAGTCTTACGATCGGTTACAAACACACGGCCACCAGTCACACTATTGCAGTCACGCGTCGCCGCCTTCACTGACTGCGCCGCTCGTTTCCCGGCGGAAACGAACAGGGTGCGCGACACTTCGTCGCCTTACTGCCAAAACGTCGATGAAACCAACAATGCCCCGGGCCAGCATTAGAGCGGCTCCGAGACCGATGTCGCCAACGTGGTGAGTGCCCTCGATATCTCGAGCGCGAACTTGATGTTGTTGACAACGCCGCTACCTGACGCGATAGGTCGTCAATGCGCCGGGTTAGCAAATCTATACTCGAAGTCGGTGTACCTGCCTGAGACGTCGCGGCAACTTGCCTATCCAGCTGCGGGGCGATCTCATAAATTTTATCAACAATTCGGGCTATAGATTCCAGAGGTAGGTCACCTTGAGTAGCCATAATTGCCTGAACATGGTCGGGTAACCTGCTCACCCAGATGGACCGTATGAATTGTTCTGGTACGTCTTCACCCGCCAGGCTTTGAAGGTGCCGTAAAAATTGGGAAGGTTTTCGGTCGCCCAATTCCTCGTGCGTCAGTAATTGTCTAACCCGTTGTTGCTGTGAAGTCGATAGGCGCGATATTAACTCAGTTTTAATTTTTTCATATTTCCCTTCCGACGGTGGTTTGGAAACCACATCTTTCACCTCACAAATGTATTTATAGTCCAAATTCGCGGTGACGTGGTAGAATTTTGTTGCATCCGCGGTAATGTTTGCCAACGCAAATTGACCCTCCAGTTGCGAAAACCAAAGTGCAGGTTCATTTGGCCAAAATGGCGGAACCTTTATGCCAACGCGGCACACTACGTCTTTACCTGCCGTAGCCATGTTTCACAAATAAAATGTCAAATCACACAACTAATCACATAACTGATCACGTCGGGGTCACCAATTTATAGGTGCGCGAGAGGCGAGCACCATATAATAATAGTTTTTAGGCTAGGTAGTGGCCGCAGTGGGAAGACAAAGAAAACTTCTTGACTTTAAAAGTATATAATAATGATAACAGCATATACAGAAGGAACGAAGTTGAATGAAAAGAGTTGTAGTACAATTAGAAAAAAGAAATCACAAGTACAAGAATAGATAAATTATACGTCACTAAGGGATAGTTCCTAAATCGCGCACGGGTCTCGCCTTTGACAGTTGTAAACGCACTGCCCGCTGGTCGCGCTGCCACTGGCTGCAGGCTCCACCCACCGCGCCCGTGTCGTCACACATAGCGGTAAAATCACCGACGCGGTGGAAAAGAGGAGTGATATCATTGTTCGCCACAAGGCACTACATGTAGTGGGCTGGCCCACGGACTACTCGGTGGCCTGCATATCCCTAACTCCTGCATGAGCTGGAATTCTTTTTGAACTAAGTGAGGTGGCAGCTTCCTAGCGCGCGTATACACTGGGGGACCTGTCGTCTCAATATGGTGATAGACGGAATGCTCTGGCACTTCCTTAAAAATACACTTCACCACTCCTATCGAGTTTACACTCTTTGATCCACAAACGTACAAATTAGTAACTAAGTCGACTAATCTATTATTATATAAATCTACTGATAATCTAAAATTTCTTAAAAAATCTGCCCCAATTATTGGCTGCTTAACATTGCACACTATGAACGGCCATATTAAATCTCTTAAAGACCAAAATTTATTGTTAAATAACATATGCCGTATGTCTTTATCTCACTATCATTAGCCGCGCATTATTTAAAATCGCAATTAATTAGTGTGCTTTGTTTAACACACCATTTCGGGATTACCGATGTATTAGCTCCTGTGTCTATCAAGAAAGTAAACTTTGATAAACTATCCCTAACTAACAAAGGGTGATTAATAACTACCTATCCCTGAGTACATCCGTCCACCGCCTGCGGATATACTGGTTCTAGTTTCCCGCGCTGCTGCCTTTACGCCAGGCGCAAGGTTCCTCGCACCTCCTCGCGTTATTCCTCCAGTGATAATGGAACCTGCAGAGCCACTCTGGATCCCCTAGAGTCCTTCATTTGCGCGACGTGGACCTGCTCTTGTAGCTTTGGTGGCTGCGACTCCTGGGACGTCCTCGATCTTGCACCTCGCTGCGGAGTGCTGCAACTTCCAGCGTGAGATTGTTTAATTGCTGCACGAGCCCGGTAAGTGTGTCTGATACAGCAGGCATCTGTGGTGCTGCTAATGGTGCTCCGGCAATGGTTGCGATTTCGCCGGTTGTGCAGTTCTCTATTATCTTGTCGCCTATGGCTGCAAAATTGTCTATTGCTTGGTCCTGGCACACGGCTATGACTGCCCTGACCTCTGATGGCATTCTAGACCGCCACAAGTTCTTGAGCATCTGTTCGGATACTTGCGTGGTGCGGCCCAGATCCTTCATCCGTCGCAGCAGTTGAGTCGGCTTTTGCGATCCCAGCTCCAGTTCTGAGACCAGCTTCTGGAACTGTCGTTGGGCGCTTTCTTCGTATACTTGCAACAGCCTCTCCTTCGAGGTGTTATATCTGTTGTCTGCTGGCAGTGAGGTCACAAGGTCGCTAACCTGTTGTGTATGGAATCCCGTCCCAGCTTTGATATGACACAATTGAAATTTGCCTCGTCACCCTGCTTCTAAGGCGACATACCGGCCTCGAATTGCGCAAACCACATCCCCGGCATCTCCACCCGGAACTGCTTTTCCTCCTTCATCCGGGATGGCGCCATCGGGCCGCCTGATGGTGGTGGCGAGTTGTACATCTTTTTGTGAGTCGCCGCGCCTTATTTTGATTTTCACTTTTGTTCACTTTGATTCACGTCGGGAGGTCACAAGTTTAGTGTTAGAGGTACACAAAAGAAAACCGAAGATAGTATTCACTGTCTTTATTGTGAGAACTGTATTATATGGCGGTTTTAGGGCGACTGCCTGATCCACGTGACAAATGAAATTACGATACGAAATTTCTATATAGTCATAATTATAAAAAAAAAAGGGTGCGTGTACTTTTGTACGCGCGTAAGAAGTTATACTTCTTTGGCATTATTAAAATAGTTTTTGATTGCATTCAAATAATTAATTACAATTAAATAATCAAAGACTGGAAAAGGAGTCATTTAAGTTCAGTTTACATTTGAAAAATTAAATAAATAAATATTTATTATTATTCTATTACATTAAGTGTAACATAAATTCTATTAAGTTATTATTATATATTTAGAACATCTCTTCCAAACACTAAGATGTATGTTGTAGCTTTGGCAGTATTGCACAATATAGCAATTGATTTAAAAGAGGAACCTATCTTTGATGATGATGAAGAGACCCTGCCCTCACTACCAACAGTACCCTCATCTCATATTATTATTCTATTACATTAAGTGTAACATAAATTCTATTAAGTTATTATTATATATTTAGAACATCTCTTCCAAACACTAAGATGTATGTTGTAGCTTTGGCAGTATTGCACAATATAGCAATTGATTTAAAAGAGGAACCTATCTTTGATGATGATGAAGAGACCCTGCCCTCACTACCAACAGTACCCTCATCTCAAAATACACTGCGTGGAGCAGCAGTGAGAGCCATATTTATTGATGAAAACTTTTAACTTTGATAGTTCTTAATTTAGTTTGTTTTAACAATTAAGTTATTTAAACAAATAAAACACTATTTATCTTTAAAACATTTTTATTTTATTATACTATTTGTTTTTAAGTGACTATAATGTCTTCATCAGAATTTCGGTTTGTAATTTTAAATTAATCATTACTTGGTTGTGCATCTACGAGGCTTCTCCAAAACTAAAACTACTACTTGCTTTCTGCAACAAATAAGAGAATATTAATCTAAGCTCTGCCCATGCAAAACTTAAAAATTTTTATAATTCATATTATAAATTTTTTAACACATTTATATTAATATAATTATATAAATGTGTTAATAATATAATTTGTAGCACATGCTACAGACCTGGATAGCAACTTTCTTTTATTCTATTTAGAGATAGAGATAATTTAAATATAATACCGGTGTCTCCCTTGTAGGTTTCTTTGGAGTTGTTAGGGGATTCTTGTTGTTCAGTTCGACATGATTTTCTTTAACCTTTCTTTAATCCTACAAAATAATGAAATTGTTAAGTTATGTTGTCACTGTTGTGCACACCTTTGTCTGGCTTTTCTAGTATTCAAGTTATGTCAAAACTGATATATTACCTTGTCATTGTTGGCTTTATTTGATTTTGGGTTATCAATTGTTTCCAAAATGATTTTATTTGTAATATCCTGAAATATATAAATAACATCTATTAATTTAAGTATCATGGTGAGTGGTTCGCACTTAGGTGTTAAGGTGTATTATACCCACTGTCTATTATAAGTGGGAATAGGCTCACTTCTGGCTGGACAGAGTTTTGGTACTACAAGTGCAACATGGATGTTTTGAGGTATTACAATATCTCTAACTACCCTGTAGGGGAATAAAGTATGTGCCTATGCTTGAGAGGTTGAACCTTGAACATCACCATACATCATATTTATAATTAACATTCCTACCTCGACACCATCACAATCAAATTCATTGAAATCTACTTCAAACCGTTGCGGTATCATCTCTGCCATGTCCATTGTGATGGTGGCTTTGTTCCACCTCCAGTTTTTGATGTTTCACGGCGATAAGATTACAACTCTTTTTTTGTATTCAATTTAGTGCACTTCCACTGATTCATCAATTGTTTTTTGTCTCTTGTCCTTATATTTGCTAGATGAAATCTGAAAAATTACATGTTTTGATTAAATAATGTGGTCATTTATGAGATGCAGGTACTTATTAAAATGTTTACTTCTCTGTTATATCGCTCCAAGCCTTCATTTTCTCCTTATTAGTCGAATGCTTAAATCTTTGTTCTCAATTATTGATATATAGGGTCGTAGAATAATATTAATTAGTATTGATTTAAATATTCAATTTAAATTACTTCTGATTATAATTCAGACGCACATATAAAATTCGCACTTGTATAATGAAAATAACTAGGTATATAATCTTTTAATTTGCAACAATAATTAAAACTCCTTTATTTGTTTAAAAGGTAAATGTCATTGTCAGATGTCATGGTCATTCAAAATTCTTGTTAAGCTGCTAAGCTAAGAAATAGAATATGCGTGAAGTTAGCTTCACGCATATTCTATTTCTTTTTACTTGTAGATTGTCTTATTCCCATCTCGCTCGCGCACGCTATATCACACTCCCAATTTTGTGTCACAGGTGCGCGCGCATCGTAAAATTTCACTCTCATCAATTTTTCATAACGCGCCTAAAGAAGTACAACTTCAAAAATCTATCTTATTTAATGCTTAAATTTGAGGTATTTAGCAAAATTATCTTCCTGTTCTTGTCCTTGAGATTGTAGAACTAAATAAGTTGCAGCTTCGGTATCCTCGGCATATTGAAGATTATCATCGAGACCGTACAGAGATGTAAAAAGAAAGTGATGTGTAGTTATTCCGTGGTGGTTGAAGCTGTGGCAGATGTGTGATAGAGTTAATTACCACTTTGGAATTGTTTGGAGCAGATTTATATTCATTACTGGTCTTATTCTGCGGGGAAGTTGGCAATAGAGATTTCGTTTGATATAACATATTATACCGAAAGTGCAAGAAGGAAGACATATCACAAAATCAGCTGACCTAAAATTCTTTATTTTCAAACGTTGCTACCTCCCGTACTATTAGGTGAAATTTCTGGTTCAGGAATATATGAAGAGGGGGAATAAGCACGCCTTGATGCTTGCGTTACTGAACGGTGACTGAAGTCATTATGTGAAAAAGATGGAGATGAATTGTACTCCGTCGCCGCCATAATCGCTTCGCCAGCCGAGTTAGCCTCTACGACAAGGTCCCCTACAGATATATTTGTAGCTGTTGCTATTGGCGTTACTTTTTCATGAATATATTTTCATTTTGTTATTACAATGTTTATTATGTTGTTTACCTAGTTTGTAATAAAATAATTATATTTTTTTTATTTCCTCTCATATTTCTCTATGACGGTGTTCATTTCGTGGAAACAGTTTTTTAAGCTATAGCAATCCTTATACATTTAAAAAGAAATAGAATATGCGTGAAGCTAACTTCACGCATATTCTATTTCTTAGCTTAGCAGCTTAACAAGAATTTTGAATGACCATGACATCTGACAATGACATTTACCTTTTAAACAAATAAAGGAGTTTTAATTATTGTTGCAAATTAAAAGATTATATACCTAGTTATTTTCATTATACAAGTGCGAATTTTATATGTGCGTCTGAATTATAATCAGAAGTAATTTAAATTGCAAGGACTCATTGTATTCGTTTCTATGTCACATTGTGTTCCAGTATTTACATGATTTCGTTTTTTGAAATCTATGCTTTCTGTACCAGCCATGTTTTTTTCTGTAAAAAAAAATATTAAAAGTTAAATAAAATCTTTCGTTTTTCGCAGTTATGAGAAAATATTATGAAATAGAAAATACTTAGACTAATCTGAACAGATAAGTCTACTATTTTGTAAGTACTGTTCAGTATAAATAGATAATTATTATTAAATTTATTTATTAATAATCAGAATATTAAACGGAATGTATAAAAAATACTACCGTTTTAAAACTCTTTTGGCGCATCCACACATGCCGCCGGCTTATGCCGCCGGGTTTGCCGCCGGCTTACAGACCGCCTTGCCGCTGAATTTGCTGCCGCCGGCTTTACCGCCGGCCTGCAGATGCGGTTGCAATTTTCGCAGTAGTGTTGTGACTTTCGTCGAAGTCAGTAGTGTCCGTAGGATTGGAAGATGTTGGACTATGATATAGTTGCGTGTATCGTAAGTGTAGTGTTGTATGTTATTCATAAAAAGAACCGCAAAATCAAACGAAGATATTGGGTCAGACCAAGTCTACGAAATAGGCCTAATGTGTCCCCGATACTTGAAGATTTTAGAAAGGACGACATAAACCGAAGAAATATTCGTTCGAAATTTAACACTTTTCTAAGGATCTCTAGTGAAGAATTTGAAATATTACTGAATTTAATTGGACCCATCATATCAAAAACTGACACCCGCTAGAGAAATGCTGTGTCAGCTTCCGATCGACTAGCAATTACTTTGAGATACCTGGCTACAGGAGACTCTTATTTTTCACTCGGTACACTGTTTAAAGTGTCTCCACAAGCTATTTCTTTAATAATTCCAGATGTTTGTCAAGCTTTGGTATCTACATTATCCAATTATTTAAGGGTAAGTACTATTATCCGTACATAACTTAGAAACTGAACGCCTATATTAGAAAACAAAACAGACCACATAAATTCACACTGTTATGGCATGTACCTACAAGACACAAACATTTTAACAAAAAGATTCTTGCCAGGAGAGTTCCCAGGACAACGGTTTCCAAGTGACGTATCTATTCCTAGTAGAATTTATTATAATATCTATGATTTTATACTGTACCTACCTGGATTTTCACACACATTTTACATACATTCAACTAGAACTACTCACACAAATATAATAAACAATTTTATTTTACAGATGCCGAATACACAGGGAGAATGGCTATAAGTGGCTCGGAGTTTCATGCAGAAATGGAATGTACCTAATTGCGTAGGTGCCCTCGATGGGAAACATATACGTATACTATGTCCAAATAATAGCGGTTCTGAGTTTTTTAATTATAAGTCATATTTCAGTATTGTTTTGCTAGCTTTAATCGATGCCAATTATAACTTTTTATACGTGGACATTGGATGTCAGGGCAGAATATCTGATGGTGGAGCACTACGAAATTCAACTTTATTTGATATGATACGAGATGGAACTTTAAATCTGCCACAAGCGATTCCATGACAAGGGAGAAATACACCTGTACCTTTTTATTTCATCGGTGACGATGCTTTCCTCATCTCACAGAATATAATAAAACCATTTTCTGGATATCATGCAAAAGGATCACCTGAGAGGATTTTTAATTATAGAATTAGTCGCGGGCGCATGGTTGTTGAAGACGCGTTTGGCATTTTATCTAATAAATTCAGAATTTTGCATTCACGCATAGATTTACAAAATGAGAAAGCAAAAATTGTCGTGATGGCTCGTGTGCATCTGCATTATTTTATAAGGAGAAATGAAAGAATGACTGGTGGAGTTTTGAACGAAGAACAACAAAATATTCCCCAGATCGCTCTAAATGTAGAACCAAGTGTAATTAGAAATGAGCTAAAATGTTATTTTCTATCGGAACAAGGTCAGCTTCCTTGGCAATATCAAATATAATGTTTGAAGGAAATAAAATATGATTATTCAAATAATTGTTTTATTTAGGAATCAGGAACATTTATCAATAATTTTAATTTTCTTTTTTCTATTACACTATTTTCGGTTAAATTATTTTCCAAGACTTGTGTTGACATCTAGGCTATTTTGCATTTCATAGTCTGATTGAACAGAGTAAGAGCGCGAAGTTGAAGGCGATGGTGACATTGCTGACGTTGTAGGTTGGCCTGTGAAGTATCCTGGACGAAAATTTGATAACGAAGAGGCTGAGTAGTATTATTGGTATCAAAATTCATCGAACCCATTCTCATTTCTGCTTCATAGACAATATTCTTTATTTGATGTTGTACTGTACACATCGTGTATTGATCCATCTTCCTCAACTTGCTACTTATATAGTCTGCAAATATAGCAGCATCATTGCGTGGCCTTGCATTAGACGTAATCTCCCTCAGTAATTGCAAAGCTTCATCAACTTCAGGTTCTCTCTCTATATTTCGCTTTCGTGAAGTCCTTTTAGTCTGGGGAGTGATATTATCTTGAGAAGACTGAAAATAAAAAGGAAATCTTATAAATAATTGCAAACAAGCTTCAACATTATACTTTGAATATATCTAATCAGTATGTAAATCCCTACTGTATATATATATATACAGGTTGGCCAAAAAGTCGTGGATCAAACGCAAATAGGGGTCATCAACGGCAAAAAATTGTTCTACGGGAGGTCTCTAAGGTCAACCCCTGCAGAGTTATGATTTATTTTGGTTTTTATATGAAAATTGACTTTTTTTTACTAATTCTTCTTAAAATTCGAAAAAATCTACATCCTGTATCTTTTTCATAATATCCACTAGATTGGTAATGATGTGTCCTTGCGTTAGACATGCTATTTATGGTTGTTTATTGGGTGTATTGAAGATAATATTAAGTTTTACGAAAAAAAATTTATTCAAATCAGAACTTCTTATTTACTTCGGACCCCACTGTGAAAAAAAATTACTCTACCGAAAAGTGACCCTGTATTACAAGTTTTGGCGCATTTCATAGGGATTCTGAAAAGGTATTACACATGGCCATGAGTAGCTCTAATATTTTTCTAGGAAGAAAAAACAAAACAACAATTGTGAAATATGTAATTGTTTGTAGAAAACAAAAGAAAACTTTTACAATATATGTCAAAATTCCTGCCTACGCACGTGTTTATTTCCTCGGATTTACGACGACTTAGAGACCTCCCGTAGAACAATTTTTTGCCGCTGATGACCTCATCTATCCCCTATTTGCGTTTGATCCACGACTTTTTGGCCACCCTGTATATATTCCGCTACTTATTATTTATGTTTCTCATCGTTTAAACCTTCCCTGAACTTCTACAAATATTTCGAGATCAAAATTAGCCAAATCGGTACAGCCTAGCTTTCCGCCCGCGGCTTCGCCCGCGTGATTTAGTTTTTCTTGTTCCCGGTCCCCTACACTACCTCTTTTCTACCCCTACACTACCTCTACACTACCCTTACACTACCCCTACACTATCTGTACACTACTCCTACACTACCACTACGCTACCTACCCGCTGTAAATAAACCTGTGTCTTATAATGTAATAATTCTACTTCCATATTATTATATTACTTAATCTTTGGTTTCCGTTGCTTAGCAACTGTTTGTTATAACTTATTCCCGAATACTTCGCATTTGGTGAGCGTTATGCCGACTACATAAGGTTCAAATACGAGAGTATGCTCGCCCGCGCTCCGTGGTATTATGTATGGTTACCGGGTTGTAGGTAGTAGGTATCTAATATTAATACGCGAAGCAAAAACTTTGTAACGAAAATATTACTTAATGAAATATGTAGGTACTTATTTTAAATTAATTATGGTCGAATTTCGACCAATGGGTGACCAACTAGTCTACTTAATTATAAAAATTTGATGGGTACTTACACTAGGTGTGTGGCTGTTGACGGTCGGTACCGGTGCATTCTTGTCATTAAGAAATGATAACGCCTTATAAGCAAACCATTTCGGCAATTGAACATCATCCCGTCCAGATCCACTCCTTTTAGATTCTTCATATTTGCGTTTTTCTCGAAAATAATGGCTGGATAAATTCTTCAGTTTTCTCTCAATTTCTGATGATGCTATGTAAAACACAGAAGCAATATCCCTAATAGCATCATAGCATTTCTTTTGTTGCGATTCTTGAAATCCATGTGTTGGTTCCACAATAGTTCATTTTCTTGATACTTTTCTATTAATAAAAGTACTGCACTATCATCCCAGTTAAATTCTGTCATTTCGTTATTTTTATGAAATGAACAACACTACCACTCCGTATCTAAGCCGCAAGCAAACTGCCGCCGGCAACCTAAAGCCGCGCGTGCCGCAGGTAAAGAATGCATGTGCCATGCCATGATTCCATGGTGATAAATGATAATATTCACAATATACACACACAGTCCTGTACAATATCTAAGAGAGACTATGGCCCCTTTGAAAGCATTTTAAACTGCACACTACAGAACTGATATATTGGAACCCTTTTTTAGAACCCGAACCGAACCAGAACCGGAACAGGAACCGTAACGAAAAGTGATACCTTTTATGGAACCTAAATTTTAGGTAAATCTCTAGTTTTGGGCATTCACTTATATCCAAGTTGTTCCTTATTTTCAGCATACTTTTTATCATCAAAAACCTCGACCATAACGTAGAAGGTTTTAATTTTGCTGAGAGTTCGGAGAAGTATGCCAACATAACATTTTCTGAAAAACTATTTGCTTTTTCCTCTTCTCTCCACGCAATAAATTCGTCGTATGTAGATATGTAGCGATTTTACTTTTCCGGTAAAATGTTCTCCGAAGCATTTTGTGCAATTATACTGAGTTCCGGTGGGTGTTCATTCAAATAAAATATCGTCGAAATTACTCATTTTGTACAACAAACAACTAAACTCGCAAAAAACTAAATTTTTGGAAAATGGCGCCAACCGTAAAAGACAGCAGAGAGAGAGCAGAGATTTTCTTTTGTTTTCTTCACCCATTCTGGGTAAGCAAAGGGAACTACGCTCATTCAGTCTTCAGTAGATTTTTTTATTGATATGATTTTTTTAGTGAAACTTGGTTTGGTTTTTTATTTTTAATAGACATTATTTTGACAGTTGGGAAAGAGAACGCACTAGTTCGGAAAAGATAAAGACAAAGCTCGAGTATGTAATAGCACACATCCCGAACGCTATACGTCCCTGCAATACGCCACTTTTTGAGCAACTGTATTGAAAAAGTAGTTACGGGTGATTTTATAAGTAACTTCTTAAAAAACAAAGGGTATCAAGAGTGCTATCTGCTAATCGCCATCTATATGTCCATTGCAAAGTACCCAGCTGCTGAGAATTTCCTCTCCGACTCAACAGTGGTTGGCAACGGCGTGACTAAGTAATTATATGCAAACTGATAATATCTCCCCCTTGTGTTCTCTCAGTGTGGAGGAACCACAGTCAAATAAATCCATTTTTTTTTTGTTAGTGACTCTAATTGATGTAAGCTTGTGGATACACGTGTAAAAGGACTTTTAGACGCTCGGAGTGTTTATTCTAATTCCTCTCGAAGTGACGTATTAGTTAGTGTAGCAGTAGCACTTAAATTCAAATGCTCTGCAATCATAGGCAGGGGCAAGTCATCTTCGTTTAATAATGTCATATTAATCTCTATTTAGTTTCGTTTTTCGTTACGATACAATCGTGTGATTATATTTTTTTTCTTTCCTTATAAGATATTTGCTTGGCATTTGGAGAGTCTCGTTGACTTTCCATTGCACCAAATCATCTAGTAACACTTATTCGGATTTTTCAAATATAACAGCGCTGCAGTTGCTTTTATGCGACTCTCGGAGATACCATTGTTCATCGAAGAGGCCAACTTTTCTGAGAGGAGTTTTTAGATCTTCTAGGTTTCGAATCATGAAACGCAACGTATATTCTGCACTAACTAGATCAGTATCTCGACGCCACAGTACCTCAAAAGCCAATTTCACTGACTGAAATGTATTTTTCAAACATATAAGGACAGCATGTTCTTCATCCGTGAAAAAAATAGCCTGAATTGGAACTGAGTCAGAGGTCAACTATGGTCTTAGCTACACACTGCTTTATTCTATTGTATGTACTTATCATGTTGCATAGGCTACTGCACGTGTATTTTTTTAACTCATATAAACTAAACAAAAAGTAATTTAAGTAATTTCTTGTTATGCAGTTGTGCACAAGCATAACAAACAATTGGCTGCCTGCCCGCACGCGTGCACCACGTCTTTCTCACTCACTTGATACAGTTTATTATTATCTATCCCGCACGTCATCTGTGGCTTATATTCGTAAATACTCGGAATCGTTTTCTAACGCTGTTCGGCACTTTACTCCCGCCCGGCCGTCAGTTAGTTCTCGAACGGGATCTCGTCATAGTATGCTTCGGGATTGATTCCGAAAAAAGAAGCCCTTTAACTTATGTTTCATGAAATTATGTTTTTCAATTGATACATTTTTAGTAAAAAATCGGTTGTCTGTAAAGTCGATTTACTGACGATAGTTGAACGTGACAACGTCATAAGAAAATACTGATGGAATGGTTGCATTTTTCAAAAGAAAATTTTAATTTTATTTGTTTGATAGATACTTTGTATGGATATAGAGGAGGTAAATGGAAATCACAATTGAATTGATCAAGTTACATTTATTTGTACGCATAAATAGAATTATGTCAATTTTTTAACGAACGAACGCTGCCGAACGCGGAGGCCGATTGTGCCTCTTTGTCGCTCCTTCCGCGCTCTCGCTTGCACCTCAAGCCTTAAATGAAACGCCTCAGAGTGAGGTAACGCCGCATGCGTCATGTTTTTTCGTGCGTGCAGCCGGCTCCATCGAATTTTTATGTTCGTCTATGTGTTCGTGTATGTCCATATGTTCAGATGATACATATTTATTTTTAAATTTAATTTAATATACTAGTCAGAATCTTCGGAATTTGTAGCACTTGATTCTTCCTCTTAGCTGGAGAGCTAGTGAACCCTGGGAGTAACGGTCTCCCTGTAAGGTTAGAAATTTGTATACTTACGATTTATGACATGCTAAGAGCAATAGCCATGACCTGGCAGGCGTCAGCCCTGCACGTCATCAGCCCCTTTTTTTTTTGGACTGTTAAGTAAATTGAGTTTCAAAACTTGTTTCTGTAAATTTGAAAATTTTATAGGATAAAGTTTATTTATTGTACATCTTAAAAAAAATTGACAGGCGATTACAATAAGCAGAAGTATATGACAGATCAATTAGAAAACGTACAGTTGATGAGTTAAAATAAACTTTATCCTGTATACTTAAAATTTTTATATGTTTTCAAGTAAACGTCTCAGAGTAAATATGTACAATGCCAGGCGGTTTTGAACAGCATAAGACCTTGACAGGCGAGGGGACAGCTGCTAAGGGAGTGCGAGTGAGAGGTGTTGCGTGAATGCCTATAGTGCGAGTGAGACCGTTTATCTAATACGAAGGGACGTATACCTGCTCTCGAGCAACAATGTACAGAGAAGAATTTCGTCAGTTGTGCCAATGATTTTTACTTGTGAAGATGCTTTGAGCTATAACATTTCTTATGTTGAGTGAATTCGAATTTTTAAAAAATCTAACTTTATATTATTATCAATTGTGCAGTGATATTGTGTATTGTTGTACTTAATATTAACATTTCAGTAAATAGTGTGCAAGATGGAATTGGAACACGTGGTTTGTGTGATTTGTAACGAAGACACTGACAAAAAAACTGTACGATTTACAGAGACTACGTTGAATAAAAGTAAATCAATATTGAAAATAAGAAAAGACAATAATTTAAAATTTAAAGACATTTCTTTGCCAGAGGAAATTAACGCAAATACTGGTTACCATGTAAAATGTTATAAAAACTTTCTTGCTGTGATGAAAAAATATCGCACAAGTGAATCATCAACTTCTTCAAATCTACCAGCATCATCATCAGGTATTTTTTATGAACTTCTATATTTTTTACTAGGCTTTATTCTTTAATTGTAACTATATTTTTGACTTAATTACGTGGTACAAATTTTATCATTATTAAATATATATTAAATGGAAATTATTCATAATAATGGTACTGTAACAATAATTACAGTAGAACCTCTATAAGTCGAACATCAAGGGAGACGCGAAAAATTCGAGTTATAGAGTTTTCAACTTATGGAGGATTTCGACTTAGGCGGATTTTGATTCGACATAAAGAGTTTGAGGTTTATTCTTATAAATTTTGAGCCAAACTACTTCTGACAGTATTTAAGTCGAAAACAAATGACTGGCTTAGCTAAATTTCAAAGGGAATCAAAATTGAACACCTGACACAAAGCAAGCAAACACGTGTTTCCATGAATCATAAATTTATTATTGTATACTCCTAAAATGTTTTCTAAGAAACAATAGTGTACTCACATTGTCGGCAAGTTCTTAAAGTCGGTAACTAATTTTTGTTCGAACAATAGAGATAATAAATTCCAAATGATCAAGTTGTAAAGGTTGTAAAATAAATCGTTCCTATGTTCGAGATACAGAGGTCAAATTTAATTTTTCGAGTTATAGAGTGAAAATATGTACCAAAATGGCTTGGAGGGACTCGGTGATTATTTCGATTAACAGAGGGTCAAGATTTCAAGTAATGGAGGTTTTGGTGTTTTAAGGGAAGGGAACAAAACATTTTTTCGAGATTTGGAGGTTTTTGACTTATCGAGGTTCGACTTAACGAGGTTCTACTGTATATTAATGTGCAAATCACGATTTATTAATTATTATTGACGGAAATAAAAATAATTACGTAAAAATAAAAATTATTATTAATTATTAAATATGAATATCTCAATGGCTTTTTTTTTATAGAAATGTCATCGACAAACGTAGAAACAGTGACAGTAGCCCTCCAATAGCTACTGAAGAAAGCGGAGCATCAACATCTGCTGAAGTGCCCGTTACTAAAACTAGCCATGCTGATAGGCTATGTGTGTTTTGTCAAAATAAATATAAACGAGTGAAAGGGCGGTACCAACCTCTTCACTCGTCAGAAAGAGCAAGTTTGATGCAAGTTTTGAAAGAATTTGACGAAAATAATGAATTTTATGAAAAAGTTAGCGCAGATTTAAGCCCATTGATTTTTTATCATAATAGCTGTCGAACAATTGCCATATATACTTTACAAGAACAAGCGAAGACAAAATCACCACCGAAGAAGACTTGGAAATATTTTCA